ACCTCCAGGTGATCTCAAGTGACCACAAAGTGACGTCCAAGTGACATAAAAAAAAATTTCGGAAAAAAAGTGACGCCCAAGCGACCTCCAAGTGTTCTCAGACTGAAGACCAAGCAACCTCCAGGTGATCTCAAGTGACCACAGAGTGAGGACCAAGCAACCTCCAGGTGATCTCAAGTGACCACAGAGTGAGGACCAAGCAACCTCCAGGTGATCTCAAGTGACCACAGAGTGAAGACCAAGCAACCTCCAGGTGATCTCAAATGGCCACAAAGTGACGTCCAAGTGACATAAAAAAAAAAGTCGGAAAAAAAGTGACGTCCAAGCGACCTCCAAGTGACCTCAGAGTGAAGATCAAGCAACCTCCAGGTGACCTCAAAGTGACCTCCAAGTGACCTCAGAGTGAAGACCACGCAACCTCCAGGTGATCTCAAGTGACCACAAAGTGACGTCCAAGTGACATAAAAAAAAAAGTCGGAAAAAAAGTGACGTCCAAGCGACCTCCAAGTGACCTCAGAGTGAAGACCACGCAACCTCCAGGTGATCTCAAGTGACCACAAAGTGACGTCCAAGTGACATAAAAAAAAATTTCGGAAAAAACGTGACGTCCAAGCGACCTCCAAGTGACCTCAGAGTGAAGATCAAGCAACCTCCAGGTGACCTCAAAGTGACCTCCAAGTGACCTCAGAGTGAAGATCAAGCAACCTCCAGGTGACCTCAAAGTGACCTCCAAGTGACCTCAGAGTGAAGATCAAGCAACCTCCAGGTGACCTCAAAGTGACCTCCAAGTGACCTCAGAGGGAAGACCAAGCAACCTCCAGGTGATCTCAAATGGCCACAAAGTGACGTCCAAGTGACATAAAAAAAAATTTCGGAAAAAAAGTGACGCCCAAGCGACCTCCAAGTGTTCTCAGACTGAAGACCAAGCAACCTCCAGGTGAGCTCAAGTGACCACAAAGTGACGTCCAAGTGACATAAAAAAAAATGTCGGAAAAAAAGTGACGCCCAAGCGACCTCCAAGTGTTCTCAGACTGAAGACAAAGCAACCTCCAGGTGATCTCAAGTGACTTCAAAGTGACGTCCAAGTGACGTCTGTGACACCTTTTGAAAAAATTTTTTTATTTTTTTTATTTTTTGTTTTTTTTAAATTTTTTTTGGAAAATATTCACTTGGCAGCATGTTTTAGGACATAATATTGCATTTTAGTTCATTTCGGGGACTTTTTATTTTTATGGATTTTTTCATGATGGTAAGGCTATAGTAAGGCGCGTTTTGGGTGATTTTTGAAATATTCATAAAAAATACTTTTTGGACTTTAAAACACAAAATATTCACTTGGCAGCATGTTTTAGGACATAATATTGCATTTTAGTTCATTTCGGGGACTTTTTATTTTTATGGATTTTTTCACGATGGTAAGGCTATAGTAAGGCGCGTTTTGGGTGATTTTTGAAATATTAATATAAAATACTTTTTGGACTTTTAAACACAAAATAGTCACTTGGCAGCATGTTTTAGGACATAATCTTGAATTTTAGTGCATTTCGGGGACTTTTTATTTTTATGGATTTTTTCACGATGGTAAGGCTATAGTAAGGCATGTTTTGGGTGATTTTTGAAATATTCATAAAAAATACTTTTTGGACTTTAAAACACAAAATATTCACTTGGCAGCATGTTTTAGGACCTAATCTTGCATTTTAGTGCATTTCGGGGACTTTTTATTTTTTTGGATTTTTTCACAATGGTAAGGCTATAGTAAGGCGCGTTTTGGGTGATTTTTGAAATATTAATATAAAATACTTTTTGGACTTTTAAACACAAAATAGTCACTTGGCAGCATGTTTTAGGACATAATCTTGAATTTTAGTGCATTTCGGGGACTTTTTATTTTTATGGATTTTTTCACGATGGTAAGGCTATAGTAAGGCGCGTTTTGGGTGATTTTTGAAATATTCATAAAAAATACTTTTTGGACTTTAAAACACAAAATTTTCACTTGGCAGCATGTTTTAGGACATAATCTTGAATTTTAGTGCATTTCGGGGACTTTTTATTTTTTTGGATTTTTTCACAATGGTAAGGCTATAGTAAGGCGCGTTTTGGGTGATTTTTTAAATATTCATAAAAAATACTTTTTGGACTTTAAAACACAAAATATTCACTTGGCAGCATGTTTTAGGACATAATCTTGCATTTTAGTGCATTTCGGGGACTTTTTATTTTTTTGGATTTTTTCACGATGGTAAGGCTCTTACCATCATAATGATAATGATCATCATAATGATCATGATGATGATAAGGCATGTTTATCACCATAAACATGCCTTACTATAGTAAGGCATGTTTATGGTGATATTTTTAAATATTCAGATAAAATATTTTTTGAATGTTTTAGCACAAATTATTCACTTGGCAGCATGTTTTGGGACATAAACTTGTATTATTAAATTTGTTTTATTAAATTCCTTTTTTCGCGTGTGATGTTTTCATGTTTTGAAAAATGTAATTATTGTATGCACCTTTTCTGCATGTTTCTCATCAAAGTAAAGCCATTTGAGAATTTTTTTTAGAAAAGTTTTTGCAATAAAAATGTTCAAAATTCTGTCTTTTCTGCATGTTTCTCATCAAATTAGAGCATTTTGAGAATTTTTTAGGATTTTTTATTTGACTGTTTATATATAAAAATATATATAATACAAAAAAGAACTGTTGAAAAATAATTTTATTTCTTTATTTCATAAAACACTTTGATTTTATAATTCTGTTTAAAAAATAACTTCAAGGCACACTGTATCAAGAACTATATTTCACATTTTTTCTTTTGTCACTTTAGTTTTATAGAGAAGCTCTTCTGTGTTTGCGGTTTTCGTCAATGGAAACGTCTGACCCTGCTCAGACCTTTGCTGCGTCAAAAGAATAGCTTTAAAAAAAACGAGGTGACTTTTTAAACCAGAAATTAAAAAACTGTCAAGCAAAGGCTGAAAATCCACATAATCCTTGACAACAGCGACCTTATCTCTAAACGATTATGTAACAGACATATAATTGGAAACTATTCAAACATCTGTACAATTTGAATCCTTTTTCCTACCTTCCAACTGCAGTACTTCTCTGCTTCTCTCATTTTGCATCATAGCACACAGAGGTTGTTAAAACACTGCTGCTATCTACGTATATTATGTGTCCAACAGCAATATTTTATACCTTAGGTCAAATTCACAGGGGGGCCTTTGACATGACTGTGTTTCACGGTAAGTCAGAACTCACATACTGTACAACAGTACCTGTGTCACTTCTCTACACTAACACAGCAGTAACATCATAATCTAGGACAAATAAACATCTGAAGAGTCTGACTTACATTTGGGAGCCATTGATGAGAAAAAAGTTCCTTGAAAAACACAAAGAAAGAAAGTTAATGTAGCACAATCCAATTTAAACTCGGATGTCTTCAACGTATAGTTAAAACTGTGTTTAAAAGACAAGTAGCTCAATGATCGCAAACTGAAACGTATGTCAGGTCTAAATGGTTTAATGGCAGCTAAAATACACACAGAAAAATGCCAAAAAAATGGTCAGGATGATATCTAAAAATATAAAAATAAAGATAACGCTAAAGCTTGCGGCAATGAGAATAAATAATGTAAAGTAAGCTATGAGAAATATGTCTTCAGCTTGTGGACAGTGAATTAATTAATAAGTGTAAGTGAACATTAATTAATGTGATGTGAAAAAGAATCAAAGGTTGTTATTGTTTAATGTGGCTGGAAATTGGCTAGAAGACAATTTTTTTTTAACTATCCCCCCAGAGGGGTCGCTGCAGCACATCACTCTCTATCTTTGACTCCTCAGCTGTTTGATGTCCTCCTTCACACATCCATAAATCTTCTCTGGCGTCTTTTAAGTGTCTCTTCTCAGCATATTGACTGTTCAAACCATCTCTACATCGTCTCTCCAACAGCATCTCCAGTCAGCTCACAGGCTCTACCCGAACTACGTCACACACACCTTAGCCCTTATGGACACACCTGCAACCACAGTTCCTTACAGACAGGGTAAAAGTATTGAATTGTAAAGTTCAATATTTCACATTTTACTGTCTGTCCAGACGTCGCCAAGACATCTTCCATCCTAGAGCGTACTTCCACGTCATGGCCATGTGAGGCAAACAAAGATGAACTGAAGTGACTTTACAGACTGAGTAAGGTCACAGCCAACAAATGTAAGGTTACAGATGCCAAGGAAACATTCTGATTAACGACTAACAGCAGGTTGGTGTTTGTGTTTAAAACCTTTTTTAATTTGTGACTAATCCGAAAAATAAAGGGATGTGATGATTAATAAGAAAAAACCACAATACTAAATCATTAGTTACCGTAGTTACTACAGTTACTGTGCACCTTGACAGTGGCTGGTAGAACTTGTCAAAGCTTCATTCGTATCATAAATACAATTAAATTTGGGCAAATAAAAACAACTCAGCCGGTGCATCTTGACTGAAGGCTGCAATCACATGACTCCACAAGCGACTACATACTCTAGTTGCTGCATTTTTCTAGTAGAAAAAAAAGATCCAAAACTAATTCTAGAAAAAAGAAAATTCCCAGTGTCGCCCCAAATTTGAATCAGAATGGGGTCACATTGAAAAAAAGGTTGGAAAGCAGTGAGTGAGTTTAAACAGTCCTACTGTAAAATACATGAAGATTTTATTTTCTAAATAAGAATAAGTTAACTATTATAGTGTTAGCCATTAGCTCCTAAATGGATAAACATTAGACGTCTACATTTGATGGAAAATGGAAAGTGAATTAGAAAATTAAAACCATTTATTTAAAAGGAATGTGCTTACATTAGGTTTTACCACAGGCATGAGAGGGTTAAAGGGAATTTCAGGCAAAGATAAACCATGATGAAGAAAATCAGAACATGTACAAATTTACTGTGATGTCTTAAAAACACCCACTCAGTTCAGATGTTAAGACCCGAAGGGAAGAACTGACGAGAGGCTGCTGTGGTTGTTGTGTCAGTGCTGAGCTTCAGCAGTTGCCGCTGTGTTGACTCATAGTGGGAGGACGTTCATCATAACCACAAAGACTAAACTTCAGCTTTCTAAAGATCACATCAGTGGATACAGAAATATAGCAACAAGATATTGCATCTCAATTTTACAGCAATAAAACGTTAATGTTCAATACTAACAGATATTTATATTTTTTATTTAAATAACTTGTTTGACTCAGAAAAACTTCAGCACTGAAACAGCCGGAGCACCTTCTGTAGAGGCTGATAGGACCAGTAAGTATGTCCACTAGGTGGCACTATGACAACCAAGGAAGGATAAATATTAACTGCTCTGGTCTAGCTTCTGAGAGATACATACACCTACTTTTGTTCTGGTAAAATATTACCTGTTGCCAGTAGGAGGCAATGTACTAAAAAATTACAATGGTTTTTTTTGTCTATGAAGTCTCTCCATTTTGCTAAGTCTATGGCAGAGAACATTTCAGCCATACATTTCCCCTGATACTTTGACACAATGAATAAAATCTTCCATTATCTGTTATCAGTAGGGGGCAGTGTGATGATAAAGGATTACAAGTTGGGTATATCAAGAGACCCTTCCTCACTTTATTTTTTCTCAATGCAGTTGGTGGTTCTTTAACTTGAAAAAAAAGGTTTCATATTTATCTCCAGAACTGGACTGTGGATATTAGCAGTTCAGCCAATCAGAGAATGAACTTTAATGACCCAAAATATTTTGGTGTTTTACTACATGATCAGATCATGATGATCAGATAAATTATTCTATACTAATTTCTGCTGTTTTAATTGATATAACACATTAGAAGGTATTTACACTGACACCTTTGAAATCACTGATAAAACAGTGACTTCAGTTGGCGTTTCTTCAACACTGTTTGACTGATGTACAGTTCATGGATACCCAATTTGATCAGTATGGCATTTTTTAGGGGGGCGACTTTATATGCAGGAGCAAACCAGTGGTAAAGTGGTTTGAGCTGAGACCCCTAAAAGTAACGCAGGCAGAAAATCAAATCCAGATTAACCAGGCTCTGAAATTGAACAAAAGGTCCCTGATATTGTGGTTCTTCATGAGATGTTACCATTTACAGTAGGCCACAAATCTACAGGAAGTACTTTGGCCCCAAATACAATACACACACATACTGTACAAATCGTCCAACCTCAACTCAGAAACATCCAACTATGTTAAAAACTACAACTGAAAATGATTTCAGTCCTTGTTCATACTGGAGCTCAGACTGTACTGTGACCTGTTACGGCTCCATTTGAGTGGCCAACTTCTCAGGACGTTTGTGCTCCTGTTAGCTTTCGTAGGAAATTCAGGAAAATCAACACTAGATTAAAAAACTGGACTAAAAGATTAAAGTTTACATTTTCTTTGTTTTTTAATCCTCTCTATACATGATAACAGAAACACTGCTGTTATGATTTTCATTGGCTTCAATGATTCAACTGAACCCCCTTAGTTCTGGAAGTGGAACTGTTGCTGATCCATCTCCATCTACATTTTGTGAGATACTATTAGCTGATTTCACTGGACAAACTGTTGACATCTAATCCAAGGCAAACACACAAACAACCATGATCTGGTCTGTGAGACTCTGAAAGCCTCGTTAAAAATTTAAAGGCTCAACTAAAAACATTTACACTAGTTCGGCTGAACTTGATTTCAAACTAATACTGGAACAGCTAAGCCACACAGAATCACGGCGGTAGGATTAATTCATGGCAGACGATCACTTCAGTGTTTGAGATGAAACGGAATCAAAGGTGGAGGAAATCGAGTCGACTCTCGAACAAGTCAATGTCAAACGTCAAAGAGGAGCTCTACCGCCTCCCGAACTCGTGTCATAATCTTCCCTTTCATTAAGACAAGCTTCACCCTCCTCCTCTTCCTCCTCCTCAGTCTGATCACCACACATGATGACCTAGCTTCATAGAGCTTCCCAGAAAGGACCCATATCAGGAATCCTTTCCTCACAGCAGCATCCATGACCCACTGTCTTTGGGAAAGGGAAGAAAAAGGAGACAGCTGCTCCTGCTCAGTGAGAGGGTGACATCACTGTCACACAGCTGTTTCCTGGTCTTCTCTCTGAATCATCTGATAGTGCTGTCTGTTCTCCAGGTAGGCAGCCAGTTCAGCATCGTGTGCCTTCTCTGCTCGGTTTTTTGGCGTATCCCCCTGAGACGGCGACAAAAACAGAAATAAACGTTTTATTTCTGGATCCACAGTATGTGCCACAGAATCAGCAGCCGAGGCCTGGACACACTGTAGGCAGGAGAAACATGACCATGTACGTGGTCAGTGGACACATCTCAATCACAGTCAACCATCGCTGACAAAGAAATGCCATTTAGAGAAGAAATGCTGCAATATTTCCGTCCATAATGTGTGATTACAAAGACTGAAGTGACCACAGTTTTAGCCACTGTGATGAAGTCTTCTGTTGAATACACAGTACCACCAGGTGACCTGATACGATGCCTACCACATGAATGGACCAAATATTTCACAGGGCTGTCCATAGGGGGCGCTGTTCCAAATGATTGACTGCAGAACTGTAACAGTTTGTAAAGTCAAAAATTCACAAGATTTTGTGCTTGGTGAAGTAATCCAGGATTTGTTGATCGCAACAAAGATGTTGATCAACTTTTATCAAAATGTTAGATTTAAAAGAAAAGAAATTCCTGCCCACGAGTTTTAATTCCTTTTGTTACATAACAGATTGACACAAACTTGGCAGACAGAGCAGCAGTAACTCAGCAGCTCTCGTATGGTTGGTGCCTAAAATGCAGATTGTTTTTCATCCGTGGTGAAGAAGAATTGATCAAATTAAAAATTGTAATTTCATGTCAGTAAAGGTCAGATGAAGTGGGTTAATGTTGCTGAGATGATGACGAACTGCAGATGTGAACTTTGAGAGAAAGAAACAGACAAGTCAGTGTTTGTTGTTGTTTTTCTTTCATACTCAGTTCAGATCAAATGAAAATATCAGGACATCAAAGCAGTGTCTGTGTTTTTTTGAGCTAGCCATTCGAGGGAATATATGTGTAATGAATGGCTTAAATTAAGATAAAAGCAAACAATCATAAAAACACAAAAGTAAAACCCCTGGTCACCAACAATATGTTTTGGGTTTTTTTTTACAACTTTTGTAAACCTCAGCTCAGGAGCGCCCGATCAAGAGATCAGGATCGACTAGAAGAGCACAAAGGGAGTGCTGTTTGATCATGAGCAATTCAAATAAACATAACAAATACATTCCAAGACCCATATACTGTAAGAACTGAATCATATTATTCCTTAGAGCTACAGGGTTCCATAGTGCAGCAGTTAGCACACCCGCCTTACAAGCAAAGATCAGAGAGTCCTGGGTTTGATCGTAAAGTGTCTGTTAAATACATAAATATAAATGTATTCAGTTTCCCAACATATAATGTAATATATAATAATGTGTTGAGTGCTTGATCTACTGTACGACCTGTCTTTACTTGTTTTACTTCTAGTAAATCAGTAAAACTTTATCACCTTCATAATAAAACTTCTACATAAACTGTTGATTATTTACTCGTCTCTTGGTTCATTTAGAGCAAACAACAGCAAAAGAATCAGACGTGTTTCTGACATTCGAGTTGTTTTGATACAAACAAACAGTGACGTCTTCTCTCCACACTGACCAGAAAAGTCTCATTAGGATCTCACTGCTGTGTCTATGGAAAACAACCAACAACAAATCCTGGTACAATTATTACAAAACTGTTGGAGCAGCATCAGCTCTGTTTATAATGAGACACCAGTTACTGTGAAATAGGAAAAAAGTACAAATCTCTGAGAGATGATCATTGTACACGGTACTTCCAGGGTTTGTCCACTTCCATGTTTTATATCTTTATTCCATGTTCCATGTTTGTAGACAATTTTCACATTTCTTTTTCTAAGAATGTAAAGCTGACCTTCTGCTATGTATCAGTTTTGGTGATTTGCAACTAACTCTGATTTTCTTTTTCTTTTTTGTTTTATAAACTTGTCATCTCTAGGAAGGTTGCAGTGTTAATCTAGTGACTTGGCTTTACTGGCATCAGGGAAACTGGAATATTCCATTTGCTTGAACTTGGACTTGAATTTTATTTGTAACTTCTCCTGCTCTAAACCTATTTAGTCTTGAAGAAATAAAATATGTACTGTGTAGGAATACTACGTATAACAGCATTCTGCTATCCTGACCTTTTGGTTTTATTTGCAAATACATATCTTAAAACTACTTAATACTCTTTATGAAAAATAAAAACCTTCAAATCATCTGGTAACTGAACTCATAGAAAAGCAAGTATAAACAAACTTTAACTATTCATCTATTAGTCAAGTAAGTATTAGTAGTATTTAGTTTAGTAGGATTTAACCAGTTAGTTGTCTGCAGTGTGTGTGTGTGTGCGATTTGTTGCTGCATCTGTGCTATCATGAGATATTCCTACAGACAGAGAGACTGTTGAGCTTTTTCTCCACTAAACATTTGTAACCATTAATCCCCTGTATTTCTAAGACTATGAGCCGTGCTCTGTGTTAAATCTGTCTTCAGCAGTTTCCTCTGCACTGTCTGCCTTCCTCGTCTCTGTATGTAGGTCACTGCAGCGTCCAGACACCCTGGAGCCTTTCTACCAGCCTCAGAGCTCCATGGAAAAACCAAGACACAATGAAATGGAGGAGGACGTGGACCAGAGGCTTGATCTTTAGCTCATGATGAATGGGGTCATCGTTTACTAAACTAATGTCGTCATGTCTAAACTTTGGTTTTAGAAATTTTCTTTAAATATTTTGGGGATATTATAAGATTAGTGAACTTTCAGCTTATTTGAAACCATGCTAAATTTAAATGCACTTGTTATATTATAGGTTATTCCAGGTCTATAATTTTAAGCTTTTTTTGTCTAACGTTCTTAGTTCACTTTTGGATCCTCTGAACACAGACTGACTGACCACTGTGTTGTCTAACCTGTTAGCTAACCTTTAGTTACATTTGCCATATTGACGTCTGTAGTTCCACCTAACACCTAGAGCTTTGTCTATTATTTATAAACGGCGTTGGTGAACAGAACTTACCTGAAGGTCTGTTTTCATCAGTGAAGCTCCGGCTTCAACCAGATAATGACAGATGGTTCTGTGGCACAGAGACGCAGCTCGATGAAGGACTGTCTCACCGCTGTTTTACCAAAGAGAATAGACAAAGACAGAATCCAGGTCAAAAGGTCAGATCAGGCCACAAATATAAAGTAAAGGAAAAATAGTTTCACAGTGAAATTCCAATGGTTTTAAAGTGTGAATTTATGAGGCAAAAGCCAGAGACAGGAAGTTACAGGCTGACTGAAAACACATTTGCCTGCAGGGAAACTAAGATTTAGCTTCTAAAACACTGAAGCTAAATTAATTCGATGTTGATATAAGTCTTTAGTATCCTGAGACAGTTCACCTTTATCCAGCAAGTGAAAGTGAATTATGAGATTATTTGTCCTTTGCTAACCATTCATGGAGCACGTGGCAAATAGGCCTAAAAGAAACCATAAAATACTGCCATAAAAAAAACTACAAAACTAAAGCCATACAGAAAATAAGGCAACAAAAAAACCCTAAAACTTTAGCCACAAATACCAAGCCAAACAGTAGCTGTAACGATCAGTTGTGGATAAAACACTGACTGATTGTAAACAGCCAGAATTAGGCGAACATGCAATGCTAGAGAAAACTGTGAGCTAGCCTAAATGAAAAGCCTGAACAAAAAACTGTACTTACTAAAGCTTCTCTGTGACGTCAAGCAGGTCATTCGGAGCTAAAAGAAAAAACAGAAATACAATCATAAAACATTCTCTCGGTTAGCAGGAGAATTTTCCATGATTATTCAGTTACCGTTGTCCAGAATGTAGCGAACCATCTCTTTACTTCCTGTGCTGACAGCATGGTGCAGCAGGCTGCAGTCTGACTGGTCAAGAACTGTGAGATCTGCCCCCTTCTGGTGCAGTTCCTGGAGCTGTGAGTCAAGTAGAGAAGACAGGTATGTTTCAACGATGGAGCAGAGAGCACGTTCTCAGTGAAGTAATACTATGACGTTACTCACCTTTTTAAAATCCTGGTTCTTCACACAGTCAATCAACAGTTCTGGAAGGAGTGGGAGAGAAAAGAAAAGGAAGAATTAGAAATGATTGGTCGAGACTTTTAAACACTGTTGGAATAAAACATTAGGAAAAATGAGCCGTTTTACTTCTGAGGGACACAAGTGGCTTTAAAAAAAAAAAAAGCTTTCAGCACCAAATTACATACTAACATTTTAACTTCATGATTGAGACTGTTTCCATTTCCACGTGACATCACACCAGAGAGTTTCTCTGGACAATGGTTTCATTTTCTGTCTCGCTTGTTACATCAAAAAAGCTGAAGTCTGTGTGAGTCTTCAGCTTATCTTCTCATGCATGTAAGTCCATTGAGTCGTTTTAAAGCTTGAACAGGTTTGTGGAACTTAATTAATTAACTTTAAGTGGAGTGGTGCTTTGGCCCAGAGTCAATGTCTCTGTCATTGGTGTGGAACCCCAGGGTTCACCTCCTGGGCAAGATCTAATCCTGGTTAAAGTGGTTGTGATTTTTTTAAATGGACCTTTTAAACATTATTTTCTGAAGTCATGCCTTTTTTAACCAAAGCTCATGAGGAAATCTGTGGTTTTGACCATTAGCATCACTGTAGGGTTGTGAGGCAATACTGCCTCACTGGGCAGGTTTGTGTCACTGAAGAATATATTAAAAAATTCTGTGTGATATGTATTCAGTACACTTAAATATTTACTACTGAACCTTCCACTTGCTATATGATATTCTTTGCATGAAATGTGATGTTGGTGTGTTTGCTACATTTTCTGTTGCACCAAGATCCATTAAGGAAATCTGTGTTTTTAGCTGGTGCAAAGAAGAAGGTTTGAGTAAAGGACTTCATGCACCAAAATTATGGATTAAATATTTCAATATTCTAACTGAGTAAACCAACTTTTCCTCATTTCTCACAGGCTTATATGTCCTAATGGACGTCTCCTTTGTTAAAGATAAATGAATATATTATATAATATTTAAAATTTCACTAAAGCACTGGATAAAACTTTTTTAATAAAGATAAAACTTACTGTCAAAAAATCTCTTTAGATTCAAAGTCATGCTTTAGTTGGATTTGTCAAACTCTGTCTAGCACCAAAGCTCACTGAGAAAAGCAGTGTTTTAGGCTGAAGGAAACACAGAAAATGCTGCTCCACTCCCACATCTGTAACTCTGTAACTCTTGTTGCATCAAAATGAATGACACAAACTACAGACGGTTCTTTTTTACGGGACATTAAGGATAAGAAGCACAAACTACAGACGGTTCTTTTTTACGCAGCCGGGACATTAAGGATAAGAAAGCCACAGGACAGTGTGTAGTACTGTATGTGTTGTGTAGTACGTAGTGTATGGTGACGTCAGTGGTGAATGGTGGAATCACAGGACAGTGTGTTTGGCTACAGACAGACTGGAGAACGAGATGAATGTTTATTAGACTGACCTCAATACTCACTCTCTCACTGCTTCTTCTTCAAATACACCAGTTCTAATCCAGTTATACTGGGCTTAGCATGTGTGTGTGTGTGTGTGAGCAAGAGAGAGAGAGAGAGAGAGAGGAGGGGAGGGGGTTGAGAGACAAGACTTTCTCAGCTTTGGTGGCTGACAAACCAAAAACAACAAACACACACACATGCACAGAAGCACAAATATAAGCCAACGCACAATTTGGATGGAGGGATTAAATGCTTTTAGTTCAGGGAAGAGAAGAGGTATGGAGAAACGAAAAAAATAGGGGAGAGTAAGGAAGAGGAGAGGAGAGAAGAGAGGAAAGGAGGGGAAGAAGAGGTGAGGAGAGGAGACGAAAAGGTCGGAGAAGATCGGAGACGAGACGCAGAGAGGGGAATCGAGGGGGGATCAAAGAGGAGGGAAGAGAAGAAGAAAAAATAAACAGAATATAAATGAAGAATGGAAAAGAAATTAGTAGGAATTAGAAAAAAAAATACTTGTCAAAAAAAGCAAAAGCAAATCAAAGAGTGGAGACAGAATAGATGAAGAAATGGGACAAATAAATAAAAATTAACAATATAACTGGATGAAAACAATTTTGTACCAAAGTGAAATATGAAAAGGAAAGGAACAAAGGGGGATAACATTAAAACAAAATTATATATATATAAAAAAGGCCATGCAACGGATTAATGGTTGCAAAGGATAGAAAATAAGGGATTTTTTTAAGTAAAAGAAAAGGGGGGAGGAAAGGAGTAATTACGGGGAAGTAAATCAGCAAAAGCAAAGAAGGAAGAAAATTAGAACACACACAGAGAGGAAAAAACAAAAAGGTGAAAAGAAAAGGTAAGGCAAGGAAAGGAAAGGATGAATGAGGGAAAACATTTTTGGATCAGAGCAGAGGAGGGAAGGAGGAGGAGGAGCTCAGTTAAACCACTGGGGTGATGGATAAACCTGCTCCTCTCTCTCCTGCGTCTCTGAGACTTAAACGTCTGATGACACACGCATGCACGCTCCTGTCACCTGCTCCATTGAACTCTTCATTTTGATGCAGTCAACCTGTGTGACCCTTATGGGAGATGTGTGTGTGTGTGTGTGTGTGTGTGGTTGCGGCCGTGGTTGTTTCTATATGCTGTATAAATGTGAGAGGCTGAGGAGGAGAAAGCAGAATTCTGAGACTAACTCTGCTCTTTTTTCTTTTCTAAACAAATTATGCAAATAGTTGTCCTTCATGCAGTGTGTGGTTCAGCTGAGGCTAATACCACTTCTGCAGTCATAATGGGTTTGCTTTTCTCTGCCAATGTCAGCATCATCTGCACACATAAATGTACAAACACGCACACACAGAGAACGAAGCAGTGTCACAGTCACATACTATACTGGCAACAGGAACAAAATACTGCAGTAATCTAACTTTCCCAATAATTTTCTAAGATCTTGAGAAGCCGGTTGAGCTGACGTCGTCTCGTTATTCTAATTTGTGTCAGTGTGTCAGCTCTGTTAGCTTCTGCCAAAACACTCCAGTTTGTAGAACCTGGGTCGCTTAATATGAACAATTATGACGCCAATAAGACAAAATAACATACTTAAATACACAGATGCAGTCAGCAGTTAAAGTATAACTGCAGTGGCTCAGTGGAGTAACATACCACAAAACTACAATTAGAAGATATCCAAAAGTGAAATGAAAGTCTACAAAAAACAGAGTAAAGCTAATCAAAACATTAGAAAAGTAAATTCCAATACATCCATTTTCATCTGCTTTCAACCGTTACCAGGTCGCGGGGGCAGCAGTCTCCACGACCGCCACCCAAATCACATTGCACCGTACCAGCCCCCCCTGAACCTTCCTGTGGGTGGTGAGTCCACTGGAAGGTACCAACCGCCCTAACCTGGATTAGATCTTTCCCAGGAGGTGAACCCTGGGGTTCCACACCAATGACAGAGACATTGGCTCTGGGCCAAAGCACTAGAGCTCCAATACAGTTTTAATATAAAAAACAAAACAAAAAAAGTTAATCCAGAAATAGATTAAAAATAAATAAAAAATCTCCTAAAATAATCATTAATGAAATAACTAACAAAAGAAGACAAACCAAGACAAGAAATAAAAATCTAAATGCTAGCCAAAAGTACAATAATGAAGTAGCTTTAATTTATACTAGAGGTACAATATATATGAAGAAATGCAAGTAAGTAGAAAATAAGGCAACAAAGCTTAAAGTTACTAACTTTGACATTACTTACTGATAGATAGTCAGCCATAGACAAATACTATAAAGTAATAAAAAAATATTGTAAAAGTTTGCCAAAGCCCCGTTCGTCAGAAATGAGTTAAAATGAATTTAAAAACACACCTGAGACATTCTTTATGTTAAATCATTTCTACCCTGTACCTCCCCTCGGTTCACAACAGCTACACCTGTATGAAGAACAAATTCTCAGGCTGGTTCTCAGGTGACAACACATCAAAACCAAACGCCATTCTACCCCTGTCTGCTTCCCAAAATGCACCTGGCTCTTTCCATGTTTCCCTAGGGGGGACACAGCAGTACGGTGTCAGGTGCTTCTGAGTTCCACTGAGACACTAACAAAGCAAATCAAACACTAACCAAAGCGACAGGAAGTGACACGACTGAAGGAGCACGACGTAAAACGCAGACATTAAAGGTTCTGCTGAGAACGGAAACACGCCGAAAACTCACAGCAGGCAAAATGGTGACTGTCCTGAGACACAGAAGTGCCTGCAATGCTTCAAGGTGGAATATCTAAGGTTTACAGCAATGAGGGTGCGTTAATGTGTGTGTGTGTGTGGTACCTTTTTCTCTCTCTCGCTCCGTTTCACTCCTCTGGTTTTCCTCTTGTCTGCAGAGACAGAGAAGAAGAGACTTAGCAGAGATGTTTATTCACTTGTTTCTGATCTCTCTACACATCTGTTACACAAGCTGCTACACAGGCTCTCATCTACTGCATCTTCTCACCACTGACTGTTCACTGTAGTGTTGAACACACTTCAGCCAAAACTTTATACAATAAAAGAGAAAAACAAATGTAAAACGGTGCCTTCAAATACTCCAAATATATTTTCTCTGATAAAGGAAACTCCACGAGGATCCTTCCTTATAAAGAAAGATCTGCTCATAGAACAACGTCTAACTCTGTCAACCTGTTCTACTTATGACTGTTCTTCCCAAGTCTTCATTAAATAATGTATATTAAAAATAATGTAAGTAAGAATTTGTCGACAGAAAAACATCTCGTCCGTTGAGGAATGTTCTTTAATAACCTTCTGCTCATAGAAAAATGTTCCTTTTTTTTAGCACATTTTAACCATGTCCTTCAGCTGTTTCACTTCTGTTTGGAGCAGCAGCCAAGTTCTCATAGAGACACCAGATTCTGATCAAATTCTCTTGGACTGAAGAGGAGTCAAAACTTGGCTTCATCAACCTAAGTGTGCCAGATGCTGAACCAGGTCCCTGCTGGACTCCTTCGCTCTCCTCGAGAACAAATTCGGGAAAAAACTTTCCATTCAGTTTTGACTCTGCCTTAGGACTGTGATGTCTGTTCTATCCTCAGATCTCCTTATCATGGATCATACTGATGTACAAAGAAAAAAACATTTATAGCTTAAAAGGCTAAGATAAACCAACCACATCCCACTAAATTAAACCAAAAATGATTTTACAGAGTAAGAATGTAGTGTTAAGTTATGGTGTATGCCATACACATAGTTCATGGTAAGAACTTTGTTGTACCATGGTATACACACACGAAGTATCTGTCAAGAGTACTTATTAAACAGGTCACAAAAGCTAAATGTTGTTTTTGGAATTTTTCAAAGTGGAAGTTTTTACCATGTTCAAATTCATCTAAAACAATAATGTACATATTAGAGCAACAAAACTACTGATTGGAGCAATTAAGATATGTTTGAGCACCCCCTAAAGGGGAGTTAAGGAGCTGAACTAGTCCTGAATTGTCAGTGTGAAACTGAATGTTACAATAACAGAAAACCATATAGATGAAGATACAAAGATTTTAGGAATTTCATATAATGTAAACGTCAAGTATGCATTTGACATTTAACATTTGACCTTTGGCTTGGCTTAAAATCAGCACTGGTGTTGGAGCGATGAATGCAGGCAGACCTGCACAAAAACAAAAACAAAAACAACAAGAAATAGTTAATGACAAAGTGGAAGAAGAAAACATGCACAGATACAGAAAATAGAACAAAGGAATCTGCTGTTTATAGAACACCTGAAAATAAGATGTGGAACCTGCCTGGTAAAATATTCAGACTCTTGCATGTGTGGTGTCTGAACTCAGAAGTGGCAGCGTTTGAAGACACTTGAAAACAACCTGTTCCGCATGATTTATTTACTGCTTCTGCTGAGATTGGACCTTACCAAAACACTAACAGGTGGCAGCGCTGAGGAAATGAGCTTAAACTAGGGCCACTGAGGTGGAGTACAGTGTACGACAGTATACAGAGTATACTACTTAGATATAGATTTATCATTTCATCAAATTCTGTACCAAACAGAGTCAGATGACTCAAATCAACCAATATTCTCTAGTAATATAAATTGTAATTAGATATCTTTGTTTGACTAAGAAAAATAGGAAGTTTTTTGCATTCCTTTAAATTATATACAATTGAAAACTAAAATTGAGTCGTAATAGCTACAAGTTGTCTAAATGTAGCTCCCCTTGATGCACCATTAAAGGTAAGCTAATTTAAAAATATAGCACAAAAAGCGAATTAACAGTGAAAACGTATTTGAGATTTAAATTAGACAAGTCTTTGATCTGAAGGAAATACATCTAAATACATCTAAGAATCAAATCAATAATCCTACAGTGAAATCAATTCTGGACTCGTGTTCAGTTATTTATGGATGCCCATGTCTGATCTAGTAAACACATACTGACCTGGTGAGTTTGCACACTGCTGGCGTCTCACTGAATGTCAAGGCCGTGACCGAGGAGCTGTCGCTGCTCGGGCGCTGTCTCTCAGAGGAGGAACTGCAGCAGAAACACAAAAGAGAACAAGTCAGTGAAGAAACACGCCGTGGACATCAGTGTTCACTGAAGCTTTCAGCTCTCCCACAGCTGCGGGAGAAGAAAGGAAGAAACTGTCCTGTCCAGGACCAGAAAGTGATTTGTTCGGTTTTAATGTGCTGCTTATTCTTAAACCCCAACAGAACGACATTTCATGTTCCAAACTCTGTAATAAGCCAAAGCTCAGCAAGATTAAAATGACAGCTTTTAAAGCCCTGATGAAATATATAGTATACTAGTATAGATTCCAAGTACTCCTCTCTCCCCATGTAGGAGAAAAGAGGTAAGAGACTTGTTTAGAGGACTTCTTGTTAGACATGTTTTAGCAGAAAGGAAGACTACATTTAGTTAAAAGATAAATAGATCTAGACAATAAGGTGGGAAACCTGAAATAAGTTATGCAAACTATCTAACTTAATATAAAGTTAAAAACAACAACAACAACAAAATCCTCACTATCATTTGTCTAATTTCACTGGACAACTCATTTGTAGAGTGAATCACGTTTTCAGAATCATGTTTTCAATTTGCAATTTTTCACTCTTTTTTAAGGTAGAATTTTAGTTAAACTTAATCCTAGACAAGAAATATCCATCTTTCAGCTGGTGTTTTCTTTGGTCTTGCTGGTTTGGAAAATTTGCAACTGTTGCAAATTGTCAATGCTAACCCGGTTCACTTTTGAGTTTTTGTTGTTTTTTGTTTCAATTTTACAAATGACATTGGCAAAAGTCTAATGATGTTTTAGACAATTCAATCAATTATCATTTTGTGTTATACTAGTATATGGTTATATTGTTTTGTGTATATATATATATATATATATATATATATATATATATATATATATATAAATATATGCATACATACAGTATATATAGCCAAAAAGTATAGCTAGCCTTATTTTCTATAGCTGCTGCTTCAGTGCTTCTATCAGTTGTAATGGTTAAGCCGATTATTTAGGTGCAGCGTATTTTTGACAAAATGGCTTCCCTTCATTTTGAACTATGGTAGACTTCTTTTAGAATTATTCAATCATTATTGGATATTTTTATAGCTTTTTGTAGACACGCTGTCAGCATTTGACTTTTGCAAAGTTTTTCATTTTCATATGGTTACCACTAGTCCTCGCTGACATTACAGCTGCTAAGGTTTCTGATTTGAACCATGAGCATGTTAAAGCTAAACTCAGTGGAAAAATGATTGTAAAACAAAAAAAAATGTTTGGAGTGTAGGCGTGTTTTCGTCAGAGAGAAAGAGGTAGAGAGGCAGGAAAGAGAGATAGAGGTAATTACAGTGGGAGGAATAACATTCACCCCTGGCCTTGTGTGGGCACTGCTGTACTGTAAAAGTGTATGTGTGTGTGTGTGTGTGTGTATGTGTGTGTACAGCGGATTAGCGTGACTCTGACATGTGTTTCATTCCTCACTCTCCATCCACTGAAACCATCTCTCCATCACTCTGCTGCTGCCTCTCGGCCTCATCTCTCCCCCTCGTCCTCCCACTCTGTGCACTCAGCATTGCAAATCACAGCCGCCAACACGCACACACACACACACACACACATACACACACACACACACATACACATATATGGCCAAGGGAAAGTCTTGTTTGGATCAAAAGGTTGTGTTGTTTTGCATACAGTTATTTATTCTCTTTTACTGCTTTAAGAAACATTAACACAGCCAGTCTGTTGCCAAATAATTAAAACAATTACTAATAATTACAAAAGTTTTGGAATTTTAAATTATTTTCAATAAGTGGAAAATCAATAATTTTATTATCATAATTTACGTGAGTGTTGGACTGATGTACAACAACAAAAATGGGTGACTAAACACTGAAGGACACTCCGCAAAACCCAAGAATATTTTTCGTGTTCTTGGTTAGGCATGAACAAAATTATACTCTGTCGTAGTCAGTACAATTTGTAGTCAAAGGTTGAACTCCTTGGAAGACGGCTTGCTAACATCCCATTTTGACAGACGTTTGACTGAGACTGTGGAGAAACTGCAACATTTTGGCCTCTCTCTGTTAACCACGCCCCCTTCAAAATCTGACCAATCACGCAATAATTGTCGTACACCGCCACGGAAAAAAGCTTTGCAGAGATAATCATGTCAACAACAAACTTCAAAAACTCCCAAAGCAAAGAGACAAATTTCTGCATTTAATACATTAAACCAGACATAGATAGTCATTCAATGTCAGGTTTATGTTGTTTTTCTTTTTTTTATAGATTTCAATTTACGACCAACAACAAGGACTTAACAATAAACACTGAGACTGACAGACGAAACAAAAAACTGACAGACAATAAAAGCAATAGTAACAACCGCTGAGTGACAAATGCTAAATAAAGACTAAGAAAAAGGCTAAGGCTGTGCTACCACAAGAACGAGTGAGAGATATAATCTATAATCCAGTTCAGTGTTGTGGCTGCAGAGGGCCACAGTAGGGCCACATATAGAGAAAAAATACAAAATATTCATGAACAATTTACCTCATTCCCAATTGTTTTTGAACTAACACGCACTGAAGGAGAATATATTCTGGGGAGGTCAAAAGAATATTGACCAGAGACTGGCCCAGGTCTCAGTGTCAGGTCAGATGTAAAAACAACAGAGGAAAAGAAGAGCCTTTGGTTCGTTATCATCAAGCCCTGTTCTCGAACCCTCAACCCTTGGTACTGTTTTGCCTCTGATGCACCTGTAGTGTGACAGGTGCCCAGGTTTGTGCAAAGTAGAGCATGACAGAAGGACAGAGACAGACAGGAGGGCTGCTCCACACTGTGCATCTTATTACTGCGACACATATTAAAGTCATGAGAAGGCAGCAGGACGACAGTGAGTGATGGGCAAAATATTGACAAACATAAAGACAAGGAATACAGAGCAGAGACGAAGGACAGTGGCAAATAAAAGTGACAGACTATGATTAAAGCTGAGGAACAAGAGGAAAAAACGACAAGAGAGAAAAGTGAGCAAAAATAGCAAATAATATCCAAGACAATGACACAAACGATGCAACAAAGACTGAGACAACAACGAGTGATTAGCAAAAGCAAAGAATAATAACTGTCAAACACCCAAGACAAAAAAAAAACTAAAATATTGAGAATAGAGAATAATAAAGACTGATGAACAAAGACCATTGGACAACTACAAAGTCTGACATACCATTACAAAAGACTGCAAGGATAGTCCAAAAAATTGACGACAAAAAAACTGACAAACTGAAAGACTGTTGGACATCATGGCATTGACCAAGTGACAACAACACACCATCAGTCCTTGACAAAGAGACGTTGGTAGGTGCGTGTACCAGTTCCACACAAACATAAAGACAATATTTTAGCTCAAACTGGGGCCGGAGTTCAAACCATATGTTCGTATAAATTATATCAGGACGAGCAGAGACTTTTACGGTCCTTTTCATAGACAAAAGGAGACACTTGGTCCCAACTGTAAGAGCATTGTGTTTTCCTGTCATGTAGTGACAACAACCCAGAATCTGGACTGACCACTCTGGGAGCCAACAGGACCTGACAGGTCTGGCCAAGTTCAGACAAACATTTTGACAGGTTCATCCAGCTGGAAATGGACGATAGTGAGGAGCTTCCTCCCCTGCACCCAAAGTCTCTTGTCTTTAAGCAACTTCCTGTGTATCATCCTGTGATTTGAAATCCACAATTTAGAAAAGTTGTTGGCACAAAAAATATAAATTAACAAAGTAGCAAAAGACGTGCAAGGTGAAGGAACAATGTATATCAGCTTTGGTTAACTCTGTGTTGAGGTTAACAGACAGCTACTTTTGCCAGAGTATGTTGTATTAATGAGTCGTTTGTTGGGGATGAGGATCATTATGCAACTGTGTTGGATACTTCATACTACAAAGTGGAGTATCTGCTGCATATACTAACCTTATTTGTTTCTCCTCTAGTTTTTTTTAATAATATTGTATTATAGTATTGATAAATTGTAACTTTGCTTAATACAGACAACATGTTAAAACTGCAGCAGACAGACCAGCCATAAGGGTCTAGATTGCCACTTAGCTTAACACATGCTGCAGCAGCTGCATCTCTGTTCAGACATGTAGCACCGAAAACCTGCTGTGGGCTGCCGAAGGCAGCACCGGTGTCTCTGTTGACTTCAGCAGGTATGTGATCGTTGAGCAGGGCTTATTGGATGGGTCCCGACCAATCAGATTCACAAAGCCTTCCTGTAATTTTGACTAGTATGATAGTCTGATCCAGAGTATATGATTGGACCATCCCTGCATCATACCACCGTTCTACTAAAAACCTCTGCACGATCCTTTCATCATATGAAATAAGTCAAAATGGGTCCATTAGGACAAAATTGCTGTACACCAGTTCTATTAAACAAAGTCATTTAACTCTCACCCTTGTCCTGATTCTGAAAGCTAATGGGTTGACACATTAGCATCAGCCATTTTCTCTGCAATTTATATCAATAACTACCAGTTTTTTTTGTTTGTTTTTTTAAACCTGAGGAGAGTGGTCCCTTTAATGAACCCCCAACAGCAGTGAATTTAAAGGACTGTGTGTGGTTTAGAGCTAATCTCACAGCTGTGAACAACAACTACTGCTGGACAATTTGTTGTAAAGCTTTAGACATTTACTGACCCTTTTGGTCATAATACAACAATCAGAATTTTTTTTCTTTAAATTTGGGCAGGTTTTGATAATTTTTATGCACATTTATTTGCTATGGAAACCAATAAAAAGATAAAAAGAAATTTCACAGGGGAAAAAAATGGAGAAAGGTCACAAGCCCCAGGACATACAGTATAACCTTAAAAAAGGGAATTTCAATTCATCAAACTGTTTCTCCATCAATTACAGTTTTGGTTTTTCCACTTTATGTATTATTTTGATGTCCATTATCCTATGAGGTAGGACAGCATTAAAACAATATGACTATTTAAGCTACATTATTACATACCATCGGTGCTTCTGAAAATGTCCAACAAACCCGTCCTGACAAACATTCAACAATCAGAGCACCTAATAAAGTGCCCACTTCATTAAGAGAACGGAGCACTTCACTATCTACTTTATTAGACTGAGAACAAAAGGGTACTCCAAAACTGTGAAGAGTATGGTAAAAAAAAAAAGCAAAAAAAAAAAAACAAAACGCACCGAGTCTTTGTTTATCAGGCTAAAACCAAACATTGTTTTTGATTCACGTAGGTACTGAAAAACTCTCCTTATTCATTAGTTAGCAGTCTAACTTTAAGTTATCTTTCAGAAAACAGGGTGAGGTTATCTTAAATGTCAACTAACATTTGACATTAAAGGGTATTTTTGTTTCATGAATTTGTATTCAATCAAGGATAGTATGATTAAGAGCTGAAAGATTTTTTAAATAGTTCAGTAATGTTTCCAAAAGAGGGAATAAATAGCACAAAGAGAGAACATTGACATCGGCCAAGATGTTATATTATTATCATTATCAAAAATTCAGCAGCTAAATGTAGTTTTTTTTTAAACAAAACAGTTAAACGTCAACAGAAAAAGATCAACAAACAGGCCAAACACATGTAATATATTATATTAAATGTAGAGAAGAATTTCCAAAAAACAAATGTGGAAGAAGTGAAATAGGCCAAAACAGTTCAATTGAGCTTAATGTTAGAGGGAAAAAAAATCAGCTTCCTTTTTTTGTGCATTAATACTTTGAGTATTCCAATTATTACATGTGCTTCGATGTATGGTGATTACAGACTTAAATTAACAAAACCAAACAGTGCTGGATGTGTGGCAGATTCTTTAAGAATGATGAAGGGAAGAAGGGAAGATTAAAAACCACCACAGTTTTTTACTCATTGTTTCCTTTGTGTGTAATGCTTTCTTCTCTCTCTCCGTGCAGCTCCTCCCACACGCGTACAAAAGTGGGAACATTCACAGCATTGTTGTTCAGATGCCCTGTTATAAAGCGATTTTTTTTTTAACAGCATGAAATCTGTTAGAGAGGAGGCTCAGACGGTTCACAGAATACTCCCCTGTTGCTTATTAAGAGGGCATAACAAATTACTTTATTTGATGCTTACTCTGTTGGCAACCAACGTGCAGACAGATTGAACAAATCAGTTGTCCTTAAAGGACATCGACAGAAGACCGTAATACTGTATGGAGTAGATTACAACCACGGGACAGCACTTTTCCTTAAACAAAGCTATTTGTAAGAAACCTTAAAGAAAAAGACCTCCTTAAGGAAACGTACTTAAAGATCTTGTGTATCAAGCAGTGCAACTAATCAAAAATATACTACTGCTGTTCAGGCATTTGTTGTTCTATCCGATGGAGCCATCGCTAATTCTTTTACCAACCTGTTGACAGGAGCTCTAAGGCCAGGCTGTTCTATCAGTGCTCTCTATAGGATCAATCAACAAGTACTAGTAGACTGGTAATCCAGTAGTTATTACATTTTTGAATGTAGAAGTGGAAGTGGATTGACTAGTACTTTTTGGAAGCAGGGTTGGTGCTGAAAGTTGAACTGTAGGTCAACGTTTGGCTCATTGGTAGGCCAGTTGTCAGTCAGGATGCACCTGGAAAATGTTCATTTAACTGTCTACTGCAGTGTTGCTTGCTTGTATTTAATGCATCTGTGGCTGCACAAAAGGCAGATTCTTTCTACTAAATCATTGCTGAGAAAAAGACAAAATCAAGAGGCTAATTTGGAACCTGATGTTTGGAAAAGGAAACTGTTGTTAAGTGTCAGCAGGGGGCAGGAGTGAACTGATCTGTGTGTTTTAATACTTGTTGAACAACAGTGGTTCATGCTACAGTCTTCAGTCTATTGTTGTCCAAAAACCATTAAAAAGACATTAGCAAGCTGACTTAATTCCACACCGCCGTGCTGAGACTCATTCTCACTAATGCACCACACATGGATTAATCTGCCTGTAGATATAATCCAACACAACACAAGGTTCCCTCCTGTTTCAGCTGCAACATTTGATAGGAACAGAAAAAAAAGCTGTTGTATATTAAAGCAGTATATTAACAAGGCCTGTTTTAGGCTTGTGTTTGTTTTGTAACACAGTAAGGTCAATACAGGCTTTTGTTGTGGTTAAGATCAATAAGAAAAATTTAGACGAACTGCTTCACCTGTATGTGAGAAGAGGGAGAGGAAAAGAGAGGAGGAAAGAGGGAGAGAGAGGCGTCAAAGAGCATCAGTAAAAAGATGATGTAACAGGTTTCTGTAGGTTAGGATTTAATCTGTGTGTGTGTGTGTGTGTGTTTGTGTAAGAGAGAGAGAGAGAGCGAAAGAGAGTGAGAGAGAGAAATAGCAAATATGGCTTTAATGTGATGACAGAAATGTGTTTTTAGACACAGACACCAAACAGAAAGATAAATGATGTTACTTGCATTTATGCACCAATGTCTGCAAAAGTCATGGAGCAAGGAAAAACCAAGCCTTAGCCGAAGTAAATAGGTCTATTTGGGTTTTTAAAAACATCCTAGAAATTAGGTTCAAGACAAAGAGCCGGGGAAAACAAAAATGAAGCTGAGGACAATAAGACTAGGAAGTTAGTCAAGACAAGTTAGTCAAAAGGTAGGTAGAAACAAGTCTAAGAAGAGTAGGAAGTATGACATAAATAACTAATAAATGACCTAGACCAGGGAACACAAGAGTAGAACAGAACACAACAGGCACCTGAGCCAGGTGTACAGGCAAAAAGAACAAAAACAAGAAAAGTAAAAAGTATCTTTTACTTTTCTCTTCAAAGAATCTAGAAAGTAAAAAAGTTATAAGGAAAGATTTTTTTTAGAGAAAGCTGTATTTTCAGTGATCATCTTGTCTATAGTTGTCCCAGGGCTGGGACACACTTCACTGATAATTCTTTTTTTCTCTCGAGTTAACAGTTTTGTAACAAACTATAAAATGTGAATAAAGTTCTGCTCGGTTTTGAAGAAAAAGCTGTTAATGTGTTGGAGTGCGGGCTGTTGAACAATAAAACTGTAAAAGGACGGCACAGCAGAAAAAGATAGGACTTTTACACTTTATAGTTACGCTTACATAAGAGAGACAAGGTAGCCTAAAGAGTTTAGTTTGGATTTTGTAAGGTCTAAATACTAAATCTTTTCTGTTTGTTTTTAATTTGTTGATATTACAGAATAACTTCTCCGTTAGCTGTGAACTGGCCGTGAGAGCTTCGAGGATTTCCTGAAATAATACAGCTGTGCTGCAGCTCATTCCAAGCACTGAACATGAATGTCCCAACAACAGTAACTCTAAAAGTCTGTATTTTGAGCTAAAGTCAGAGAATTCCATGTTGTTCTGACTTTTCTCATCACTCTGATAATGGAAAATGGAATCTTAAATAATGTGCTTCCAGAAAACAATTTGGGCAAACAACGAAACAGAAGTGGGTTAACCTGGGGGTACGGGGGAGCAAAGAGCAGCTGCATCAAATCTCTTTGTTGAGGAGTTGCCCACGGGGCCAATACAGGGTTTGAAGTGTTCTTACAGACAAACACAGGCTCATGCACACAGAAATACTGCTAAGTACACAGACTGGGTCAGTGGCTTCATGTGTTGTATCTGTGATTTTGTACCTGTGATCAGAAGATGAAGATGCAACAGGATAAACAAAGATGTCCGCCGACTGATCAGAAGAGTCTTTCCTGAAAATAAATACAAGTAAGCATTATAATACTGCATAGGAAACACTATGAGGGTGATAAAAAACACTTTTATAGGGATAAAAAAGCTGAAGTCAGATTAAAACAGATTAACAAAAAACTCAATAGACAGACAATTAGATAAATGACACTAAAAATCACAAAATGATCATTTTTGTATTAAATTCAAGAATGGCTCGATCAGTTGGTGATGGGAGGAAGTGCAACACAGTTCACTAGTCCAACACAGTGTTAGATACTGTATATGTCAAGACAAACATCATCTACATTCACTCTCATATCTATGGTCCATTAAGTTAATCCTGACTGTTTAAGGTGACCAAGAAGACCCCAGAGAGAAACCCATGTACCCATAAGGAGAAACCAAAGAACAAATCAGTCAACTGTTCGTTTTCCTGCTTCACGGCAAAAGTAATAACCGTCCTTCAAATGTGTGGCCCAACTTTACAGATAATAATTCAACTGTCGTTGCCTGTAAAAGGTTCAAGGAAGTTCCTCCATCTTCTCCTTCTCCTGCCTGGCAACAATCCACTATCTTTACACATCTTCACCCCCAAACTGTACCTCTGATCTTTTCACTAACCCTGTCCATTCTAGTCACGTCAAATAACAACCAGCATCATGTGACACTCCACATCCAGCTCTACCTCCAATCAAAGCCACAAATAATGAGGTGACAAAACAAGATTATGTTTTTAACAGCACTCGGTTTTGTCTGTCTCCTATATTTCCTATAAATAGTCTATGTCAGTTTTATATATAAGGAGAGGGAAGGAGAGAATAAGAGAGGGAGAGAGAGAGCTATATATATGTATATAAATATATACTGTATATATGTGTGTGTGTGTATATGTACAGTATGTGCATACATTGTATATTCATCATTCCACTATTCTACTCACTATTCTAAAGCTGTCACACGTATTTCCCTCGACTCTTGCTTGATAACTAGTATGTGCACATCAGCCTGCAGTTTCTACAGCACACCACACGACTGTTGGACAGTGTCACTGTCAAATTCTCTCCACTAATAACTCCCTCAGGATGATCCATCACTGCTGCCGCTGCCGCTGCTGCTGTTCCCCCTCCTGCGGTGTGTCAATCTAACAACACTCAGGACTGGACACAGGAACCACCTGGAGGAACCAAGCTGTGAATTACAATGCACGCAAACAAGTCTCAGCCCCTGGTTTTAATTCATATTTTACACCAGTGATTCCAGGAAAATCAGCTTCATGCCTGAACGTATGCATGGCTCACCACCAGGATCTTATTTATGTCAGAGTTAATTACTGAACCCCAGTCCTGAATACAAGGAGAGGAGTTACATCAGGAAGAGCATTAGAGTGAACAAAATTAACAAGAACATATAAAGTGAGGAAACTTTATATGAAACTTAATTTCAAAATCACAACTGTCCAAACTTTATTCAGCGAGGGCATATTTAATTGTGTAAAAATACCAAACTGGTTTAAGCTTAAACCATTTTCTGCTATTTTTAAATTTTCTTTTGTGTTAACAGCCAAGAAAATCAAGAACAAGCTACCGTGAGAATGTAAAGGAACAGAAAAATAGTTAGTTTTAAAAAAGCTTAAATGTCATCTTTACTTAATTAGATAAGATTTTTGAAAGTATACCTGAAGGTTAGACTAAATAAATGTAAAAACAAATGTGAAGGAAATCTTTCATGTCTGTGCAGAAATAGCTCCAAGTAAGACAATAATAAAGCAGCTAATATAAAGGCTCAAATCTTGGCATTTCTTCTAGGAGTTTCTTTACAGGTATTCTATGCTTTTGCTGGACTTACCCGTAGTTCATTTTTTAGTTGATCGACTTCTGTTGATTCGAAGTTTCTATAATTTCACTCTAGTTTAATTGTACCCATGATATTCTAATTGAACCGTTAGGTGTATCTTTGTCAGAGACGCTTTTCCTTATTTTGCTCTATTGTATGAATCTACCCATCCACTGGCTAACGAAGACATACTGTACTATAAATCCTATAGTACATCATCCATCATGATCATCGTAAGCTGCAGAAGACATCTTTGAATCAGTTTTCGCAAAATGTAACACGGTCAGTTAAAGCTAACATTACACATTAGTAGTACATTTAAGTGTTTTGTCTTTGTTAAACAAAACGAGTCTGTTGGGATAAAAAAAAAAAATTGAACTATGGCTGGGAGTAATTTGATTTTTTATCAAAGCGACATTAAGAACTTTGACAGGCCTTCTTACACACTGAGCAGTGTTGGCACATTTTTGGAGATGGTCTGTGGACACACCAGTGTAAGCCGTGGTTTCAGAATGCTGCCAGAAGACTTTAATTCTTCTGTGATGTGTCCTCATTTTCTCAAAATGTCATGCCCACAGCTTTGCGGCCATTTGTTTTCTTTTTTTTGGACCTTTTCCCAACATATTTAGACCTGTATAATTTCCATTGTTATGATGTTTTTGTTTAACTAGAATTCCTGCAGTTATCCATTAAAACAGAACAGCAGCCATTCCCTCAGGGGGGTTATATTGTAATTGCAAGCTCTGAAGGAGTGACTGGGTCTGGAAGATGGATTGTTTTTTGAACAGCTGTGACTGACCTGTTGTCTTTTTGACTGGACTCAGCATCAGTGTGTGTCACTTCAGCAGCACTGGTAGTGGGAGAGGTGCTGACTGTCATGGTAACCACCAGTTCTGGGTCCAGGATGAAAAGTTCTTCCTGGGAGATTTCTGAGACGTAATTTAGATGTTCCTGCAGATAGGAAAAATACATCATTTATAATACATTGTTTATATTTTTGTTTGGACACAAAGCTCAGCAATAACTAACAGTAGGACCAAATATAGACTATAGAAAAACATAAGGTAAGGAAAAACATTAGCAAAAATAGCTTTAGTACAAATGCTAAAACATAGCAATCATGCAGGTAACAACATTAGCAGACAACGAGGTACTATAGGAAGTGCATTTTATCAGTATTATTTGTTTGTGCATTACTAAAAAAGGATATGACAAATCAGTATTGAAGCCTTTACACTGTAGGGGTTTGTAAGAAGATATTTTTGTTCTCAAAAAAACAGTCCAAGTTTCAGGCTTAAATGCCAGAAACTGGACACATGTTTTCGGCCAAAAACATGAATACATTTGAAAACTGCAGGTGAACAAACCTGTGCTCTGTCGATCCTGTAGAACCGATCTGCCGTTGTGGCTGAGGAAACACAGAGAAACATCAGTCTAACAAACCAGCGCTCAGAGGAAAAACAAGAACTCTTCTTTTTCCCAGTCTGACTGCGAGGGCCAGTGATCTAGGCTCTAATGAGGGATGTCCAGCTGAGAAGGTCTGGTTCTGCTGCTTCTGTAAAGTCCCAGTGGGACAGCTGGTTCTGCAGAGCTACATTTCTAACAAAAGTTGTAGTAACGTTTACTCTCAAAGTTTGATGTGCAATTTTTAGAGCCCAGTTTTAAGTCACATCACTTGCTCCTCTGCACCAAAATAAAAACTGCTGAGTTTACGAAAACACAAAAATGAACTTCACTAAAAATAGCCCAGATGTAGTACAAATGTAGGACACCTTAATAACAACCTTAATATTCTGACACTGAACCATACCATAAGTATCCCATCCCCAACCTACAGTAACACTAACCTACACTAACTCTGCTGCTACTACCTTACTGACAGTAGATACCAATACTATATCTAGTCCTAATTGGTAAAATACTCAAAGTTCAAAACGAAATGAAAAGTCATATGAAACAACTTGCCTTCAATGTCTAAAATGGCTAGATGAAAATTAAACATTTCGTGAGAATCTGTTGAATAGTATGTTATTATCTTTATTTCTGGTTAAACATGTACTTATGTTTTTATCCCTTTTAACAGAATTAAACTAAAGCTTCACTTGTTTCTCATTTTATCTTCAAATGTTTCTTTAGACGGTCACAGCAGGACAAGACGTCTGAACTAGAAGAACACAGTCTGTGTAATCTGGTTTACTTTTTTATGAAATGATACAACTGAACTTGCCGTGTGTGTGCGTGTGATGTCAGAATCGTGTGTGTTGCTCTATTGAATAAAATGACATGTTAAAGCAGTTATTGAACGCTAATATGTACTGAAAGTTAATTCAGCTTGTGTAAAAATGTATTAAACCTATGGTATAATATTTGAAAGAACTTTGACTTATTTTAAGGAGGAATAAAAAGTCAGTTTCAAGGTCAGCAACAGACACCTAGGTTAACATTTTGATAACTTTCCTGTTGGAATGACTAACAAAGTGAATTTCTTGTTTGCAATTTTTTCCCCTCTACAGTTGAGTTTTATTTTGTTTTGCTTCTTGTGTAAAAATCCTCTTTGTGACCTTCCACCTTATTTTCTGTCTTCTCTGCATGTTTTAAAAAAGCTCCTCTCCACAGAAAGACCGATTCGAGTAAGTCAAGGTTCTGGAAGCTTCGCATAACTGTTTTCTCTTATTATTGTAAAGCACTTACAGTCAAGGAAACACCACTTTGGCGACAGTCTCTGCGTGGAGACATTCTTCAGTTTTCCAGCATCCTCCTAAATGAAAGATAGAGAAAAAATGTATTTTATAAACATGTTACATTAGGCCGTGTGTGGTTTGAACTTTTGTGCCTTCTAAAAACTGGACTACAAAGCCAAAAAGCTGTCTTGAAATGAAAAAAAGAAGACATTGACCTGAAAGTTGGACTTATTTTCATGCGGCTGAATAAAAGAAGCCACTGTAAATATAAATGTTAAGGTTGCAAAAAAGAAGAAAATACTTGGCCGCATCGACTGTTTTTTTTAGAAAGTTTAGAAAAACAAACCAAAGTGAAGAATGTTATTTGGCCTGACCTTTACTGGGATTACCCTGGCATTAGGCATTGGATTCCAGCTGAGCAGCAGAATCCCAAAAACCGACACAACCGATCAACTCATGCTACATTTATGACTAATGACCAATCAAACCAAGAAACAAACAAAATCCCATCTATTCAACCAACAGACCAACAAACAACCAAAACAACCACCCACAGCCAACTGAACAAAAAAGTCAAGCATATTCATGCAAGAAAATACAAAAACACCACAACTAGAATCATATCTCAAACTCAAACTCACTCACTGATAAACCAACAAACCCTTACTACAACAAAACAGCAAGTGAGCGGCAAACAAAATGAGACCGCAACCAGAAAAAACACAACTCATAAACTACAATTAACAAACTGATCAACAGACTGGCTGACAAACCATCCAACCAACCGAGATGACATCCAGGAGCAGAGCTTAGCAAACAGGTGTCCAACCAGCTAACCAACAAAGAGGCAAATCATAAACTCAAATAATGAAGAAAGATATGTCATCTACAAAGAATCAACGGGAAAACTAAAAGAAAAACAACCAACCAAGACAGAAACAATAAATGAAAAATCAGCCTTTAATTAAGGACTTTACTCTTCATGACTCCCTGCTGGTTACTTAGAAAGAAAAACCAAGGGAAATGTGCCACTTTGATTATACAGATTATACATGAAACAGTTTGTTAATTAAAAACTATCCAGGAAGAAGTATAAAAATAATAAATAGTTACAATTTCCAGGTTTTGTTGTTATTCATCATTATAATCTGAACTGCTTGATATGTTTTGGTTTAAAAAAAAAATCAAAAGCACTGTTTCTCTGAGGCTTTCATCATTTTTTCTCATTACTTTTTTTATGTTTTGGTATCACCCTGACTTTTTGTCCAGCGAGCTTCCAATTAGTCCACAACAGAGCAGCAGGACTTAACAAGATGATAAAAAAAAACAAAACCAAACAGACTTCTTTCTTCTTCTTCTCTCTGCACCGGCACCCTTCGATCTGTAAACTCTGGTTCAGATGTGTGCCGTTGTTTACAGAACACTAACTGATTCAGAGCCCTGTCTGTCCGTCTTAGAAACCCGCCCACACATTACACCGTCAGATCTTCCCACCTCAGTGGGAACTACATGTCATGATGCTAAACACCTAGCTCACAAGATAGTTCTGAGGTTTTAAAAACCTTCTTCCCTCATCAGTTGTTTTTACTTTAATGACAGTTTTCTAAACTCGTACCCATTTTCTCTCTGTAGTCGCCTTGACCCAGTGCCCTTTGCTGAAGTCTGTTCGTGGAACCTTGTGTTTTGTTGTCTCGCAGCATTGGAAGTAACAGCATTGGATGAATGGTTGTTAAAAAGCATTATAGCTTTTACAACTGCATCAGTTACAGTTTTTTAAGCACAAAGTCAAGCCTGGGGTCAAGACCAGCAACACAAGTATAAGCTTGTGACTGAGCTTCATCATTTCACATCTTAAAACAAAGTGTGTACTGTATGTTAACTAAAGTCAGTAAATCAGGCTTTAAGAATAAAATACTAATATGTAGATTAAAACAACAAGAAAACTTTAATTAAATCCAGACAAACGAACCACAATTAACGTATAATTAAAACCACACACAAACAGCACATTAGCCTCGGCAACATTGAAGGATGGTCCAAGTATTGTATCCAATCACAACCAACTTTATCAGACAACAGCCATATCTGACCATCAGACTAATATCATAAAAAAAAGAAAAACACTCATATTTGACGTCAAACATGTGCCGATGCTGCAAACGTGTACATTTTCACTACCACCAGCTCACCTCAGTCAGACAGTGTTGTGTTTTCCCTTTTCAGTTAGGTGTCTAACTGCCCTCACTGGCAGTTTATTTAACGTAAGTAGGTCAATAATGTCAGCAGTTTGGTTTTATTACAACATTAGGGAAGAAGGAAGGGTTACTGTTCTGCACTGGCACAGTGGATAGATCAGCTGTTTTATACCTCACCAATGCCGTTTCCCTACTTAACAGGGATAGACTTCCGTATTAGTTAGTGTGCAGTCGATCCCGCATTAGCTAACGCACAGCAAATACCCTTTTGTGTTCACACTGACTTTCAACTCATGATTTGCTGTGCACTAGATACCTGTTTTAGTAAACATGCAGAAGGAGATCGAGTGCACATTAATTTTGTGCAATTTCTAAATTGACACATACACGTTGTCAGGTGATCAGCACATCAAGAAATAACAAGATATTTGGGTTATTTTTTTATCTTTATTATTATTATTTATATATATATTTAAACAATGACACAGACTGTCACTGTTTGGAACCAAACCAAGTTCAATCCAGACCGACACAGTCAGACTAGGCATGGTTCTACTACTCTGAACTCACACTATTCAAAACCACATAAACCAATATCCATGATGGAACATCCACTTGAGTCCTCTGCCACTTCAACCAAAATGACCAACCAACAAACATCAATACGTAATGCAAATGACAGCTAATCATTTGACCATCAACCAACAAGACTTTCAAGACTGAAACCCTTTAACCAATATAACTGAATAACAACCAGGTCAAGTTAATTTGACCTGAACAAACGTAACAATAAACCAAGAAGCTCGGCTGTACCATCAACCAATCAACCAGAACTAACGTATAAATTCATCAACCAACCAGTAACTGCATTAACTGATCATTTTGTCTGATATGAAATATTACATAATATTCATATCATTAACCCATCTTCAAAACAGAAAAAAACAAAACACTGAAACAGCGGGTTGGAGAAAGTTTATCAAGTTTATCATATCATGTCCCTACTGATACTGTCTGTATCAGTAGGGACATGATATGATGATATTGTTGTCATAGAAACCAATCCCACGCACAGATTCCGTCTTAAAACGCTGTGAAGCTCCCTGCCGTGGGGCTGTTCTGACAGAGAAAAACACTTTATGGCTTCTCTGCAGCGACTTAGATCAGACCCGTGATACTGAGCACGGAACGTTATCAAACATGAAGATAACCAGTGCGGCTCCACAATTAAAAAAAAGAAAACTGCTCAGCTCTGCAGAAATGTCTGAATGTGATATGATGACATAAGAGGCCAAACAGAGTAAAGCTATATTTCCCTTTCAAACAGCTCATGCAGACTGAGGTAAACACCTCCACTTTTTTTTCACTTGTGTGTTTCACGCCAGCGGAATCTGCCGTCAGTTTGGGCAGACGGTCTTGAGCAGCGTCCAAGGCCTGAGGCTTTTACAGCGCTGAATCAAAGCCTGAACCTGTCTGAAGGACTCCTTTTCTTCTTGCCTTCTTTCTTCTCCATTCACTACTGTCTGTCTCCGAATGCTGTTAACTATCTCTGCTGTGCAGTTGTGTGCTCCACAACGCTGCACTCACGTGTACAAGGTGGCCTAGTGGTAACAGGATTCTGTGTGAGACTCACAGGTTCTAAACCTGCCCTTTAGCAAGCAACTAAAATCCCCTGGCTCCACAGGAGCTGCTGAGAGCACCCACAGCTCTATGGTGGTTAAATAACGAGTGCATATTTGTTGTTATTTTGGTCAGTAACCATCTGTTTGGACAACTGTTAGGAAAACCTTAAATATTAGGACTTTTGAAATGAACGTGTTGATCCTGCAATTCACCTGTGAGTATTAATCAGATGTTTTTTCTCTTTTTAACACAATACGGAATGACAAGAAATGTCTACAACTTTTCTGTTAATATGCACAGAAGTGATTAAAATCTCCATGCGGCACACTTACTGCTGTTACTTGTCTTTCTGCTCCAACGACATACAGAAGAAACACGGTATGTAGTTATACACGCATGTGTGTGTGTCATTTCTCCAACAACAAACAACAACAATATTCTTGTCAACAACAGACAGCACAGCTTCTATTCCTACACTATTGGTTCACACTCCCTCTGTTTGAACACCTAACTACGAAACATCATACAGTGAGAGATGAACCCAAACATCATCTGAAAAAACACTGGCTATGATATTGTCCTGTGTAGATCCCTTAAAAACACTTTACTGTGCCTTTAAGAGATGTTTGTACTTCATGAAACGTAGCACTTGGATTTCAGCATTATTCTTGGAGCACAGGGACTAATTAATCCCCTGATACTTCAGTCTGTAAAATAAAACTAAAATGAAACAAGCCCATGTTGTATGCTTGGTTTTTAATGTATTCTTCTTAAATGTAATAAATGATGAATAACTATTTTAATTGCCTCACTTGTTGCTTCCCTGATAAAGCCTTTAAAATAACTTTTATGCCCTTTTATTTTTTAATTTCTAAATGTCATTAATGCTTCAACTGTCTATGTCTTTCATTTGCTAAGAATAAAAGAAAAAGGAAGGAGAGAGCTTACTGAATAATGATTTGCCTGTAATCAACATTCAAAAACAACCTTCAGACTTTCTGAAGATAATGTGGATTAAACAGAGCCACCTGAATGCAGCTGCAATTGAAATAAGTGGAATCAAGCCTTAATAAAAACAAACCAAAGGAAAGAACTTTTCCTGAAAATCAAAACAACAGGATTAAATAACAGGAAGTACTACAGGCTGCATGCACAGCACACAACACAAAAACAACACTTCACATGGATGGACACACTTTCAGAGACGACAGCTCGTGCATCATGCTGCAACACTGAAACACGGGAAACTAGTCTCAAACATGATTTTTCACTGTCAGTTCAGATGAATCACTAGAACTGAGGACATGTATGTACAACTATAAATTTGTTGCTCATACACGCCAACTCACTTAGAAAATTAGAAATTATCCCTTTAACCTTGGTCTGTTTTTAAGTAAGTGCATTGTTGTGAATTAGGTGAAACCTGAATCAGAGTGAGTGATTAGTCCTCCTCCAATCAACCAGTTCCATTTGGTTCGCTCAGTACAATAAGAGCCATGATGACAGTGATTCATCAGGTAAAAGATGATTGTGTGAGTGGAAAATAATAGATAGCTGTCCTCACTCTGAGGCATCAGCCCACAGAACAACCCCTGTTTTTACCCTCCCACTTCCTACGTTATGATGTGCAGGCGAGGGGCTTTATGACTGCGAATCTTCCATGAAGACCTCGAGCCAGACTTCTGTGGACAGTACATGTTTCTGTTCCAGTGTCTCATCAGTTTCCATCTGTGCTGAGTTGTTGGCACAGCTTGATGGTTTTGAACAGAAGTCAGAAAAAAGTGTCTTTCATCTTCATTATTAAGTTTCCTCAGCCGACCACTGACTTCACTGGCCTGTGTGGTTTAAGGCTGCCTGTTTCTTTGTGCTCATTTCTAAAGAGCCTGAACATCACAACATGACAGCTCTGTCTGACTGGTTGAGAGTGTACTGATATAATAAACAGGAACTACAGTGTGTTTTGCTGCTGTTCTCAGAAGTGTCATGGAGTCAGACTGTGGCATGAAGCTTTCTTCCATTACCTGATTTGGTAGAAAGTTTGGCTTTTTTAACATAATGTAAAAATGATGATCTCCAGTGTCTGTTTGGTCTCACTGATAGAATCTGAACTTAATACAGGGGATCTATGATTTATGATGTCCTTGAGCTACAGCTTTTCTTGGTTACATCACAAACTCCCATTAATTTATTTCAATTATTACTAAATATTGGTCCGTCCAACAATTCCGACGTATGACATTAAAACAAATTTGGCACGGGAACTAGTTGGCAAACAGAGTGGACAAATATGTTGTCATGTGGCACTTTACGTTGAAGGCAGCTTTGTTCATTCACTTCCATTTGTTGGTGTTGTTTTTTTGGGGGAAACTTATTGTCCTTAATTATGGCTGCTAAGTGTAAGTCAGACTCTTCTAATGTTTTGATATCCTAAATTATGATGTTATCAATGTGTTAGTGTAGCTGAGTGACATATGTACAGTATGTGAGTTTCGACGGCATAAATCGAGTTACATTGCGATGTAGAAACGGAACTCAGAATAATTGGTGAACAACCTGTAACTGATTTTAAAAATTAAAAAAATGATTTGATTGTGAATATACTTCATATTGCTAACATTGTTTCTTTTAAATAATATGAGATAAATAAGCTAATTTAAATACATTTGAAGTAATCAACTTTTGTATGTTCAGATGCTGTGTCTTTTGTCTGCATTAATCAATTATTTTTAATGAAGTCTAAAAAAGGAGTGACTCTGGAAGACGGACAACTGTTTCTGTCTGCTGCTCTTTCACAGCATCATTTCACTGTCAGACTAGAGAAGAAGATCAAAGTGATCTTTGTGAAGTCTGATCTGGGCTTTGTAACTTCCATCATCCAGATGAAGCTAATGACATGGTTCATGAACAATACGATGAACTCAGACGGGCTGGTTATTTTTAGAAAGCAGTGCTTTTATTTTATTACTTTGTGCTGGTTTAATATAAATAACTGTAGTGTTTTTAATCATTTCAATTTGATATAAATTGTTATAAAATTAATTAATATAAGTTTAAAGTGAGCCCAAAGTGACTTTTTTTTTTGTTAGTGTTTGGTTAACATTTAGGTTGTCAAGGACCTAAAGCCCTTCTGCTCTTATCATTATTATATATCTATATATCTTTTAAAATGATTTATTTTTAAGTAAGCTAAGTTTAAGGCAACGTTTTAGCTTCTTTTCCACTTTTCTGCTATTTCAAGGCTATTGCTAAGCTGTTGTTTTCTTACATATATATGTAGACTTTGACATGTGTATTTGTGACATTAAATGACTAGTAGGTTTTGACTACTGGATGGAATAAAGTCTACATTCACTATCATACTTTTGCTGGCATTTGTGCAGAAGTGAATGTGTTTGGACTCCTTAGTTAATGAGAGTCTTCAAAAAACTAAATAGAAGACAGGGAGCTTTGGCTGTCAGTCAGTGCAGTCTTTTCTGACACATCATGTCTTTCTCATTACTAGTCTTTGACAGGAGGATTTATTTAAAAGACTAAAAACCCCTGGTTCCTCCTGCTTAAATGTTTCTCCCTTTGCTTGAATTATTTATTAAAAACTTGTGGTTGCTTAAGGGTTGCAGGGTGATAAGGCACTATGGAATCTTTCAAAAATACCTTAGTAGGGAGAGAGAGTTGAGTTTTTATTTCATTTTCTTAGAGTTTGGTCTATATATATATATATAAATATAAAAATTTAGTCACAGTTTTTTAAATTTCAACAGAAACTTAGTTTAGTGGTTCTCAATTAATTTCTGTCATGCCCCCCCATGGGAACACATGTTTTTACACACACCACCCGCTCCAACCCACACCCCTGTGAATTAAAATACTATTGAAAACCTGATAACACGTATATTTCTATCTGTAACCACTGTATGAGTTGCTGCCACCTAGTGACTGGAGGTTTGTTATCATTCAGCAGTAGGACACTTATGTCCAGCGTGCCATGTTCCACTGGAAGCCCCTCACGCCCTCCCTGGCACCTCACCGCGCCCTCCTATGGGGGCCCGCCCCACTACTTCAGTTTTTTTCACTGATTCAGTTAGAGATGAACTCTTTTCTTTATCAAATGCCAACAGTGTCCAGTGATGTCTCATGAATGCGTGGAATATAACCTGGTAGTTGCACGTGTGCCTCAGAGCAAAATTTTCCAACTACCAACCTGTGGTCCCAAGCATGTAAAGGAGAGAGGGTGGTGAGAGCAGAAGTCCTACAGAGGGGAAAAAGTCGACAGTATAGGAGGAAATTTAAGAAAGACACACACACAGGGATTCATTTGCTTAAGTTCAAACGAAAAAAAGTTCCTCTAATTCTTCTCTAACTTTAATGAAACCGGACCAAGACCATTTCATTTAAATGTTCTCCATCTCTTTCTCCTTCTGTGTTCTTACCTCCTGCAGATGCTGAATGTGCTCACGGCAAGTTTCTAAGTCACTGTCCCCAGGAACCACAATCAGGCCCAGAGGAATGGCTGTAGACACACACACACACAAAAGTGTCAAAAATCTATTATTATTTTACAGCAGAAGCAACATCTTGATTCTGTCCAGACCTGGGTTTTCTGCTACCAATGTTTAATTTTTGTTTTCAGGGCTAAATGTTTTAAATGCTTATAGTTATTATTGAGCGTACATTTAAATTTTGTCCTTTTGGCATGTTTTAGATCAGGGGTCACCAACATGGTGCCCCTGGGTCACGTGGTAGCCCCGATGGACTACTTAAGGTGCCAGCGGGGTATGTTCTAAAAATAAAACTAGTCAATAAGAGGGTCAACAATTGTACTGTTACTGTTCTTTTTATCATACCATCATTATTGGACCCATGTTGCTGCAAGTTAGACTTGCAGCAACATGGGTCCAATAATGATGGTAAGAAGAGTGTCTGTCATTGTATGTCCCAGAACTGATTATTATTACATTGTTGGGGAAGTCTGTATCAAACAAGTAGCTCTTCGTATCACTAAGTGTCCTTGAAGTATCTCCCAGTTTCAGAAAGGTCGGTGACTCCTGTTTTAGATGACTGTGTTTATTTTGGCCATTTCTTCCTCATGTATTTCCATATATTTGTGCTTATTGCAAGCATAAAAGATTAACTTCAACAAAATTTATTATGGTTGTTGTTTGAATATTAACTATTAGAGTTGCTATAAAAATGTCATTGGAGTGTTTTTTAAATGTTGGAAAAATTGTGAATTTGAGCATTACAATATGATACACAATCTTTTTTTTTCCATGTTAGGATTCTTATAACATTTTTTTAAGAAACAAAATTAGCTCAAATGAGGCAAATTATGCCCAATGACAATGATCCTTTATTTGTAAGAACTATGCAAAATATCACTACCAACTAAAATGGTCTTGTGGACCTACATGAACTGCAGTTGTTATTTAAAATAACAGAATACAAAAATGCTCATTACTTTACAGAAACACTGCACGTCCCCATTTATCTCCTCTTACTAAAAGTCAAACTGGTCTGCTCTGATTTACCCCGGTAACCGTGAATATATATAACAAAAAGAATATAAAAAAATATTTTCTGGAAAGAGTTCCTTTCTTTATAGACACACTGTAAAACACTGTTTGTGTCTGTGGGACGAGTTCTTCCCACGTTCTGTTTGAACCCCTGAATCGTAGGGACCTGACGTCTTGGTTTAACAGCGGGTCAAACCAACGTTTTAGGCACTAACCTTTACCTGTGCGTGTGTAGTCTCATGGTGTGACAACTGATTTTGTGAGGTAATGTAGCCTACTGCTTGTGCGATTCATTTTTTTATTTCAACGACGTGCATTGTCACACATTTGTATTGATTTTGAACAAATTTACGATGCATGATTACATCCCTGGTGTTCATGTCCTACAGTGTATGTCATGAATGTAGGACGGGTGATGGAGGTGATATAACTGATTGTGTATTTTAACATCCATCCTTTCCCTCAGAGGCCACACATTCACAGTGAGACAGCAGCCACTGATCTGCACTGTGGCTGAAAATAAAATTCAACAACAAATGAAAAAAAGGTCCATCAAATTGTTTTTGAAACAGTTTTTGTTAATAAGTTATGTTGATAATGAACGTTTGCCATAGATGGATGTAGGATCAAATCTCTATACACAAATAAAATTCCAAAGCAGAGACACAGAGAGACCCATGATGGGTTTTCTGTAATTGAGGGTGCGAGGGCAGTGAAAAAGCTGCAAGATGCCACATTGCCACCTTGTGGCAGAACTGGAAACTGTTGAAGCCTGGATAAGATAAGATCTTTGTTCGTCGTCACAGTGGGGAAATTCACAGTGTTTTTAGCAGTAATTAAGTAAGAACAGTACAGGGTATAATAAAATGATGCACAGCATAGTGTTATAGTAACAGAAATATGGGTTTGTCGTTTTAACCCCATGTTCATCAGGATTTACATATTTTATATTTTTAATGTGTATAAAGTCACATTCTGGACACTAAGCTAAAAAGCTTCAGGTGGGTGATTAGGTTAAAGTGCTGTTTTAATTAAAATCTTCATAACTTGGAGTATTAATTTGTGTTGAACTTCCTCTGTTATTTAAAATACAATAAAATTATATCTTGGAGAAAAAATGCCATCAGTCCTCCTCTGACTCAATTTGAAAGTGACATTTCTAAAACCAACGAGAAGCTGAGAATTTTAATAAATTTAAACATCAGTAGGAGCTTATGTCTCAGTAAATAAGTAAGCCAATATAATATGAAGGTATTCTTTAATGACTTCATTGGACTGTTATCTACTTTCATAGCCATGAACAGCGCTGTGTATGAAACTGTGAGTTAGACTCATGCTGTGGCACTTGTGGAATCTAGTGGGCATGTTAAATGATGAATGAATGATGTTCTTGTTTGCTTACATGCTTGTCGCAGTTTGTCCTTGTCGTAGTGCAGAGCCTCGTAATCAGACATGCTGATCCTGCTCACTCTGATTCTCAGCCTCTCTGGAACTGGCTGCTGACTGAGGAACACAGTCAAAGAAAAACAGAGTCAACCACTAAAGTTAGATTTCTACAAAATGCTAACAAAAAAAGGTAGCAACCTAAGTTCTGCTTATACTAGTACTATTAAAATTGTGCTAATTTAACAACAATATTACTACTTCTACTACATTAAATACAAATGTGACCTTCACAGTACTACTTCACAGTACTAAAATCAAATTTAAATTTCTCACATCCAAACCATCTCTCACCATCTGCACCACTCCTCTCTAACTTCATCTCCAAACTGCTCCGCCTTAACTGTCCCTCTAATCCTGTCCATGTCCTGGTCACTCCCATAATAAAATAGAAACTTTGTAATTGCAACCATTGCACTACTCCTCCTGGGTGTGTGTGTGTGTGTGTGTGCGTGTAGTTACTCATTCAGGTGTGGCAGTGAAGTTCGTCTCTTGGTTTTCTGAACCATGTTGGCCTGGTTCTTGAGGCTGATGTGAATGGTGGAGGGAGCGAGTCGGCACGGTTCACCGTCCACCTAATAATCAACCAATCAGGTATTTTGTCATTTTTACAGCAGAAAAGTCACAGACATTCAGACAGACATTCATCAGTAAATCAGCTAAAAATAGTCAATTTAGACAGACAGTTTGTTCCCTCAATCACTGAGCCTGTTTATACACACCCAACCCAACACCAAACAGTCCATTACACTAGCCAACCAGTAATGGCATGATCATTTGTTACATTATTACCTGTACAGGCAGAGGTTTGGTGGTGGTGAGGGTCACTTCTCTACACTGGTTCAGCCTCTCACCATGACCTCCAACCTGGAGGGTGGCCTGCAAAGCACAAAGTTATAAAGTTGGAGACATCAGACAGGACACAATGTCTGTTTTTTGTTTTTTTAAATATATATATGTAAAAAAAATAAAAAACAATAAACTCGTCTACACTTTTCTGACAAACAATCCACCCTCTGACACACAAGGAAATAAAAGAAAATTATTGTGGACTAAGTTTCTCTTAGCTTTTGTCTAAACCTAGCTTCTTTATACATTTCTAGACTTGGTTTTCAGTTTTAGTATTGTCTTGGGAATCTTGAAGCTAAACGTTTCGTTATGAATGAGTTTAAACTAATCTGAGATTGTGTTTTCACTCCTGCACATCCCTACCAGAGAGGTCATGGTAAATCCGATGACCTCGATGTAGCCGTCATCATGTCGCTGAGGTTCAAAGTCATGGTAATCGCTGGGATTTCCCCACGGTGTGGTTCCTGCACAGTACCTGCGCAACAACAAAAACATAGACACAGTGATATAATAGATATTTATTATAATCTGAGGTGATAATCATCAGCTCGATGCTGTGTTAGTACATCATCATTATCAACAACAGACATGGGACAATTCAGTACTGATGGATTAAGACTAACCTGGGAATGTTGAGGAAAACCAGACACTGCAGCTTCAAATCCTGAATCTTTGACGTTAGATCTGTCCCATCACACTGAGAACAGCAGGGGAAGAGAATGGGAAGCGGGGGGGTTGATGTGTGGTTTGTATGATTGACAGCTATTTTCATGTGAGTGACAGGTACTCACTACCACTCTGAGGTGCTTGGACAGGTCTTTGGAGCTTCCCATGAGGAAATCAGAGAATGCCGTCTGTGTGTGTTTGGGAGAGACAGAGACAGTGAGGGGAAAAACACACTGCAGCACAAGAGAAAGAGAAAAAATGTCATTTTAAAATGAGCATATACTGAATAACAGGTAGAAACTGACCCCAGCATAGAACATCTTATTCCTGAAACGACTGTTGAACTTCTCAGGATTTGCCTCTAAAAAGAAAAAAGACAGATGTGAAAATAAAGTATTAGTACATTTTACATCATGTATTACCATACAAATGTATTTGAATGATTAATAACTAATACTAATACTTCATCTTCTTAACTCTCCAGATTTGATATCCCTAGTATGACGCAGACGACATCAAGCTAAGTTTAAAAACCACTTTGATTTTCTTAAAACCTTTTAGCCACTGAGCTGTTATGCTGGATGTTGCTACAATTTAGCCTCAGCTCTTCCTTGAAAATAATTTTATTTTCTTCAGTCCTAATAAATAAAAACAACTTTTGGCAAAATGATGTCACACTTAAGTGCACTTTGTATAATTAGCTGGCATTTGAAGTAGTAGACATTTCATTCAAGGCACATGCCTTACATGTCAAGAGAATTAAAGGGACAAGTCCTCATAATGGAAGCAACACATTCAGGTAAGTGTAGTTTATGCTGATGAATATTAAGACACGTTTGTGGATTTTTACCTCGAGATTCATGAAACTCCAGAGTCACATGGGCATCAAAACCAAGACTGAAGTAGTTGTTGAAAACATCCAGAGGAAGCTGTGACATACACACACACACAGACACACACACCTTATTATTGTCAAACAACATTTGATCCCGAGCCTCGTCTCCGTCTCTATACATCAGCAGCAGCGGTCAGAAACCACCAGCAGCACCAACTTTTCACAGGACTTTGCTGCTGCAGCACAAATTCTGGCCACTTGCAGCCAGTCTCACCATCTTTGTTATGTTCTTCTTTGAAAGGACATAATTTAGGACAAGTTTAAGGCAGATTGTGTCGAGAGAAACTAAATAAAATCCTTGATTTTTTAATAGATTTTGGTGCTTAAGTCAGCAGTTTATAGTCTTGACTGTGACAAAAAGTGAACAAGGTTTGAGATGTTGTTGTCATCCTGTCGTCCTGCTGCTGCAATACTGTGTGAAAATCCTATTTTTGTTCTCATGATTGTTACTGTTAGCTTTCTGGCTAACTTGAAGCTATTAGCGTGTTACTAATCCACTCTATCCTTTTGTTCTGGATAATTATTTCAGTGCTTAGTTCCAGTTATGCCTTAGCTAACTCCAGGCCTTTTGGAATCACTTTTTGACAAACTCCAAGTTTTGCGCTGATTCAAGCATTCATTTATATATTTCTAGAGACAATCCCAGCAGTCATGGAGGGGGGTTAACATTCTGGACAGTTGACCAGTCCTTCACAGTGCTGATTTGGATTATGTGTAATGACCTTATCTGTTTGCTGCTCATCAGGCTCTGCTCCTGCAATTGGGTTGGGTTCAACCTGCAAGTTCCACCTGTCCAGCTGGACAACCGTTCCGTCCTCCACATGGGACAGAATTTTAGACAGAGGTTCATCAGTGTAGCCCTGAAACACACACATGACGGGGGGAGTGTGAGTATCAATGTCAGAAATAAAAAGCTCAAAAAATATGTCCTGGAATTACTAAGAATTCCCCTGTAAAATACAATATACAAGTGTCTTTCACACTAGATATTTATTAAGAAATCACTAGATATCATATATAAGTGTATTTGTTGAGTAAATATTAAATTCAAAATTTAATATGTAGTTTTTCAACCTATCTTATCAAACCTTAGCTACATTTGTAGCTATCTTTCTTTAGATTTGTCTAGAAATGAAAATACTCAACCAACAAAATTTGGCACACTCATTGGCTAGGAGTTAATCATCAGCTTACTTTGTTTTTTTCTTAGTTTTATGGCAGCACAAAATATCACATACTGATAACTAGAATTTGTCATAAGTGTAGTATTGGTACATACGCCTCCCCAGTTGAGGGTCCTGGCTAGGTCATTTCCTGTTCCTAGGGGTAGCACAGCAACAGGAGGCTGAGGGTTTAATGCCAGCTCATCCAGACAGGACAAAATCCACCCCACCTGGATTGAACAAGCAGACATGAATGAGGGGGAATGACACCAAGGTAACATGGTCACATGGTCTCATGTGATATGTCTTGATTAATACAGAAATAAACTACTAATCATTATATTCTTATAATGTCCAATAGAAAAAGAGAAATTATATTTAATATGTATCAAAAGCACACAAGAAATGAAACATATATTACAAATAGTATAAATACATAATAATGTATGAAATATTTCAATTGAATTGTAAGTGTATGTGTTACTTCTCACAGTTCCATCTCCTCCACAGGCCAGGATCCTGAGGTTATGGACTTTACGATACAACTCCAGGCTGAAAGGTTACGCAGGCAGATAAAGTTCAATTCTGTCAAAAGTATCTGTGTAAAAATACGTGTTTGTGTGTGTGAGAGAGAGTGAGAGAGAGAGAGAGAGAGTGCTGACCCTTCCTTTGGTCCACCTTGGCTCAGATCAAACACCTGTCTGGGATTTAACAACCACATAAACGACTGCAGAATCTTGGTTCCCTGTGAATCAGACGAAACAGAACTCTGAAGAACAGTGAGACTCACCTGAGGACAACGACTGTTCAAACACATTTCAAATGGAACTCTGGTCTTAATGATGAACAAGTTAAAGGTAGTGTATGCAGTTGTCTAGTATTCATTCTTTATCCAACTAAGTATGTAGCTCTCCCTTTTGGCCTGTAGATGTTGCTAAGTACACATGATTGACACAAAAGTCCTGTTGTATGATTGAATTACACTGTTAAGTGGAATCAAAGGTAAACTATGTCATCATAACTAATTTATCCCTTCTGTCAGTTTCAATGTGTGGAGCTGTGTTCATCAGCAAGTATTCTATCTGTATTGTCTGGTTTTAATTTTCATGATTGCAGTGGAAGGGGACGCTGCTGGGTATGAATATTAAGTAGTGGAAACAAACCAAGTATGTGGGTCATTCCAGAATAGAGGGTGAAAATGTTAGCAAAGTTAACAGGATTAGATCTATTCACTACAACATTGTTGTCCCAGCACCCTTTAAAGAAAGCCTTTAAATACTGTAGAATAGACCTGCTCTGGTTCATAATTACCTGATTTCCTCCACTTTTAGGATTGACAAACACCAGCAGGGGCTTCATCAGAGGAGACGGAATGGGGCGGATTATAAACGGCCTCCACTGTCGTCCTTCCTGTTGGAAAAAAGGTGCAATCTGCTGATATAAGTTCAGACCATGTGACACATACTGTATTTACCTGATTACATGTATTTTACAGTTTGAAATATTATTGAATGACAAGGTGGAGCTCTTATCATAAACATAGGGCATCAAAGGAGCATCCAACAAAGGTTTAGTTCATCAATAAAACAACCAAACTGTATTTGACTTTGTGGCACTGCAAAAATAAGATACATTTCCTTATACTAACCTCTGCTCCTTTCTTGCTGCTTTTTCTCTTAAACGACGTTCTCTTCTTCTTTTTGCTCGACTTCATGGATGACTTTTTATACAAAAAGGAAATTACATCATGTACAAAACATGTTTAAAGGAAACTTGTTCAATCATCAAAGTGCAATGTTTGTAAAGGCAACAGTTAAAGAAGTCTTTGTCCACCTGATGGCGTCTGACGCGGATGATCCACGTGGGCGGAACTATGAGAGCTGCATGAGCACCTATTGGACAGGCCTCCTCTATTTGCTGGAGCATGAAGCAGGAAACCTTGTTGTGATACTGAAAAAAGGAAAAACAAATCAGATAGATTTATGGAAATCTATGAAAACCATACTGCTACGCACGAGCAAAGACACGTTCACTTTATGCATGTGGAAATAATACTGCTGCAAGGACCTATGAGGCACCAGAAAGACTTGAGGACATGAGGCATTAGAAGCATTTAATGGACTTAAATAGTATGAAAGATCTTAGGAACTGATAGCACCTTAAATAACTTGAAAGACCTGAACTTTAAAAATACGACAAAGAACGAAGAACCCCATGATGGCTAAGTATAAGTTGTACACCCTTGAAGAACTGTTAATTTTGTGTGAGGAAGGAGGAAAAGAAAACATGCTCTTCTGAAGAAGCAAAGGAGTAGTCACAGAAGAACAAAAAGAAATATGGTCACACTCCAGACATGTACATTATCCTGCATCCTAGTCTTGTTTCAAAAGCAGTGACACTCACAGCCTGTTTGCACCAGGAGCAGCTGATTGCCACAATATCCTTACTGTGGAAGGCAAACTTCTGCTGGAAGCCCTGCAGAATAGACACAGTTCAAGAGTAAACTACATTTACTGATTTTCTGTTTTAAACAGTCAAGGACCCGATGTAGATACGATCTATACAAATACATTCAACTTTTTGACACCAACCTTCCCACACTGTCTACATTTGCCATCCTGTCGTCTCCGATGCACCCAGTGATGACGAACCAAAGTGGGCTGAACAAGGAAAATATAGCAAAATACAATAGGTATATTAACAGATTTAACCTTTAACTAAACAACACTTACCATATTGTTAACTTTTTTGAGCTGTCCATTACTACTGTAATTTTAAAAGGGCTACTAACAAGTTTAGTTAAGTTTAAATTAAGTTGACAAATCATTTATTTCCTAAAAACATCTTCCTAAAAAGCTCAATCTTGCTATAAAGTCTTAAATACAAAACACTTCAAAACACTGAATCAAGTAGTCACAATCAAAAGTCACATCAACCAAAATGTTAACCAAACTGGTCCCTAAAATCTCTACCAAGAACCATTGGTTAGCTTAACGTTAGCTGCACAACAATTAGCCAAAAGCTAACATACGTATACCCAGTTTTGAAAAACAAAGTCATTTCCAAGAAATTCATTTGATATAAGTCGGCTATTACATATTTAAAAGATGTTTATTCTTCTTAATTCAAACAGAAAACTCTCCTTCGCTCGACACTGAAGTCATTTACTGCCAAATTCATGGCAATTTATAAACATAAATCTGACAAAAAATATAGTTTTGCAGATGATAAAATAAATCATTATAAGTTAGCAAAAAATACTACATAAATTTAGCCTTGAAATGGGTAACAACTAAGAGATGATTGTTACTGTAGTCACCACTGAAAACATAAAAAGGTAAAGTTAGTAAAGGTTGGGAAAAATCACTGAGAAATATGTCTAAACTGGACTAAGCTACAAATGGACTTTATAGCCTACACCATCAAGGTAACAATAAGCTGTTACCTGGAGGTAAATAAAATTCAAATTCAAATCATAATTTTAGATGTAGGACCACACAAAAATGAAAAAAAACGTTAAAAGATAAGGAGCCAAAACCCACCTCTCGGATATTTCTGGAGCCTGATTCTCTGAAAGACGGTTTACACCTGAAATTAATCTACAGACAGGAGATTAATGTAAGAACAGCAGTAGCAAGTATGACTTTAAATGTTGCAGGCGGGAAACAAAGAGCTCGAGAAGAAAAAAAAAAACACTGTTCACCAAGTGGTCCACATTGGGTTCACCTGTGGTCAACGTGAGAAAACCAGTGGTGCATGTGGGTCTACCACCAGCTGACTGATTTCTAATGATCATGTTTAACTTGTTGTAGAATAAAAGCCTGGTGCATGTCCAAGTTATTTTTTCTTTGGAAAATATTCATTGCTTCATGACTTTAGTTACTGTGGGAAAGATGCTATTTTAAAGGTAGTAAAACCATACCAAATCCCTTGAAGAAAATAAAACGTTACCTAGTTAGAAAACAGAAAAAAGGTAAAGATAGGTAGTAAAAATAAAAAAAAGCTATCCAATCATCAGCTGTGTAAGTACAACTTACACAGAAACTGGATAAAATGTACCATACCAGAAAGCATTACATCTTGTGTCAAAATGGATATTACTGTACTTTAAGAGGAATGCACAAGCAAAAGTTATGGTGGACAGGGGAAGTCCTACCAGGGTCCTCAGCCAGACCTTCACTGGTTATTTGGCCTACATCTTAGCTGGCCATCTGACCCAAACCACAAGTCAGTGGTGACGAATTCACAGTCTCAATCCTCTCTTTAACAGAACACAAGGTCAAAGTCTTGACAACAACTACCATTCTGGCTTCACATGTGGCTTCACATTCTGCGACTACCTCCAAAGTCCAATAATAGGAACCACTCAGGTTACCATCAGGAAGGGTCTTCTTCTAAATGCATACCGAAATGCATACTTCAGGTCGTGCTGTTGCTGCCTTTGTCAGGGTTGTTGTCTGAATAAATGACAGACTGTCATTGATGGCACTTTCCTGGGACCTTTCCAAACAGTCCAATAAGGGTGGGTGTGCTGACATGATATTTGGTCAGGAATAACATCCCAGCAAACCTCCATCAAACTAGACAAACTCAGTCAGGCCTCCCTCAACAAGGTTGGATCCATAACTGGAACTGTGCATGCAGCTAGCCATTATCTTTTGAGCTCTTTCTAAGGCTCTGGCTCCTCCATTACCAAGGTCATATGTTTCTAGAGTCTGGGCAGTCTCACACTGCTCCTTCCAAGTGAAGGTCCACTTGGGTCTTAGCTAGAGGCCCCGAAATTGAAATTGAAGAAGATGCTGACTAGTACAACAATGACGAGTTTTCACTGTGCATTTAAAAAAAAACTTTTATACTTCATATTAATCCTTTGGTCCAATGGTGTGTTCACTGACCACCAGTGCTTCTAGGACCAAAGTTTATCTACAATGCTTGAAAACTTTATAGAATGAAAGGGATTAATAAAAGCTCTTTATTAAAAACCTTATAGTCAATTAGTATCATTAATACAGCATCCCCAGGGTTACATTGTTCAGTTGAGCTGCCACCACCAGAGAATTATCTCTCCTTCTCATGACCTTCTTAAACCGGCCCCTGCCCTTCATTGTAGGTTAATTCATATAATTATAAAAATGAAAAGTAGGGGAAAAATATTTATAAATTAAAATTAGAAAATTGCTTTTTGCTGAATCATAAACCAAGAATTGATTGTTACAGAGGGTGTTTGTCCGACAAGAATTTTATTACAATTTTATTGATCATAGATGAAGACTGATGTTCAGACAATTGACCTCTGGTTAAACGTCTAATTCTGTTAGATTCAAGGTCACAGAGGAGGATTAAGAGATTAGGAGAAAGAAGAGAAAATTGTGTTTTTAATTGTGTCTCACTCTAAAGTTCGGGTCACTGAGGGGCAGCGTGGCCTCCAAAAGAATGGCCTTAGAGCTGGGAAACTGTAGGTCAGACAGGAGCGCAACATTAAAACAAATGTATCTATGACCAAAATGAGTTGAATGAATGTTTTGTTTTGTTTTGTTTTTATTTTAGGTCATATAATGATGTTGAAATATCTCAATTTACCATTAAATGTTCTTCTTATATGAAGTTATATTATATGTATATGTGTGTGTGTTATTGTATATGTATGTATACACATACATATGAGTATATTTATACATAGTTAGATAGCTAAACATTGTATAAAAAAGCATGGTTACAAATAGATAAATAAAATAAAGCTTCCATTAATGGATTTTAGGACTGAAAGTGTAAAATATTTTTTAATCTTTTTTAAAATTTTCTTCACCTTCACCACTCTCATCATCCTCGGTCATACTTCGGTGGGTTATGTCATGTAATAAAAGGTATGTTTTAATGTAAAGATCAGGTTTATTCCTACCTTTTCCAGTTGTTCTATGCAGTTGGTGTGGGCGATTATTTTACAGCCTGCACATTTCCTGCGACTGACCGACTTTTGCTGGGAAGAAAAAGGAAAAGGCCTCTTCAGGTTTATTCAGTTTTCTGTAGGAGTTTTACTTCTTAGAGTAGAACTGAGCTTTGAAATTTTTTTTTTGGAAGCTCATTCTTTCATCAAAGAAGTTTCTCCTTGCATTTGGAAGTCATCAGCAAACATATTTAAAAAAACTATAGGCTCCAAGGACACTGTGCTTGACAAGTGTTTGGTTCATCATGAAAAAGAGAATCAGACAATAACCACAAACAACTGCTACACAGTTAGGTTTTTTTACTTGTAAAAGTCAAACAATTACTTTCCCTTTTCATTTTCAAATGTTATTAAAAAATCATTTGTCATTGTTTAATACATTTTAAATGACGACATCTAAAATCCAATAGAAAAAGTAGACAGGACTAACTAGTGAGAACAAAGTCAAAAAAGAAGGCAATACCATGGCTCTGGCAATGCAGTGTTGTTCTCCCACATAACAATGATCACTAGAGGCACTGGTCTCAAACCAGATATGATCTCCATACACAGCAGAGTCCTACATGGAGACAAAAAGGTTGGTTTCCTACAAACAAACTGAAAGACTTTGAAGAACCCTTGATCCAAGCACTCACAGTCCAGTCCACTGTATTACGGATGCTGGCTTCACTCAGGTAAGTCCTGTTCAGAGACGATGTGCCAGGATGACAGGGCAGGTGGTGTAGGCCAGACTTAGAGATGGCTTTTCTGAAAACATGAGAAAAACCATTAACCTACAGAATTGTGTCAAACTAAGATACAATCTTATATATCTCTTCTTTATCATCTCTCCACTGTCTGCAGGATATAAAAATAATTAGAAAAAAAAGTTGGCAAAACACAGCATAAGGGCTAGGGCTCATCTTTAGCCTATACAGAGTATTTGAATACAGGGGGTCGTAGGCTTACATTAGAATTCCTTTCCTAAGGCTTTCCTTCAGCATACAGCACCATGTGGAAAATATTTAACAATTACCTAAAAAAAAGGGTCTCAGACTTAGCAAAAAGTAACAAAAATTCTAAAATAATAAACTTTTAGTAAGAAAATAGTTTTACGCATGTACTTGTCATGTGCACAAAGCGCTGTAGTAAAAATTAAAATATTCTGCGAAGGTCATAAAATATTTCTAAAAAAGTAGCCATTACATTAGAACAGCTGGAAACAAACATTGGATCAGTGCTAAGGCAACATGGTAGCATAGTTTAAACTAATATAGTTTTTAATAAATTGTTTCAGCTGTCATAGCACAGGTGTCAAATCATTTTTTACTACAGCCCACGTCCACATTGTGCTGCTAGTAACTGGAAGACTGCATAGATGTGATGTATGAACTCCATAATGTAATGATAAATGACACTATGGTTTTCAAGGTACAATACATTCATTTCTATGAGGGTATTATTTAAATGTGCTAGAAAACTGCCTATGTTAAATGATGAAATGATAACACCTAATGAAGCTTTGTTACCACCTCTTTGTGGAGTTACAAAATATCATAGTTACACGTATATCTACGTATATTATAAGGCAATTTTACAGCTCTTCAGCTCAAACAAGCCCCACATCTCATAGGTTTTATAAGGAAAAAAACACTGTAGTAAATGGAAGATTTAACAACACCTGAGATGATGACCGACTTTACCAGCTGCCCAACCCCAAGGGATGCCTTTTTAACATAAAGCTTTTCATTTTGTAACCCAATATAAATACGTGAACAATCATCACTGGTCAAAGAAGCTTTTGTCCAATAGCGGTTTCTCCAGTTGTGTGACAAAACAAAAGAAAAGCAATTCAAGGTCCTGATGGCCAATTGGTTTCATGTAACAGCAGCAACAGACTCATAGTCTGGTCTGTACTTTCTTGTTATTACAAAGTGCAGTAGATACAGCAGAGAGGGTTATTTTGAAATACTATAAACTTAGAATTAGCATTAGAAAAATTAGAATCTCCGAGACACAAAAAGCAAGGAGTTTGATTTAAAGATATAGTTATAACAGAAAAGAGAATTCGCTCATGAAATAACCAATGGAATTGGTATTCTGTCACAGGAAATACTGAATATGCTGGTGAGTTCATTAGCAGGGATTCTCCATCCATTTCCTATCTGTTATACCTACAGTATGACCAGAAATACCTTGAAGGACTGTCACCGGAATCACTTATTTTAAAGGAAAAGTGTTTTCAGGGAAGTTCACCATTTTTGGTCATGTTGTGTTACTTGGTTCATGAGTGTGTGTTGGTACGTTACATACGACAGAAAGTCGTCCCAGGTGTCCACGAAAGGATCGTAGTATATGGTGTCTTCATTTGCTTCAGAAGATGAGGCCAACTTTTTGCGCATTTCCAACCCAGAAAAAGTTGTATCTGTTTCTCCAGCTGTTTCAGAGACAGATCTTAGATCTGCTGGGGTCAGCTGACCAGGGCAAGGGTTTGTTGAGAATGCCTGGATGGGTTTGTCTGAAGCCCATTGAAGATCTGAAGAACTTCTTCGGTTGTATCGCCCATAAACTCCATAGGTGGTTTCACTGTTCTCCAACACAGACTCTGCTGGGAGGAGGTGGGAGGAGTTTCGACGAAGACAGCGAGGTGGGCGCAGCAGAGGGCGGGCTCTGATCTTCCTCGTAGTGGTCATCTGGCTCAGTTGGAACTGAGGTTTGGAGTCTTCATTTTTTACTTCTTTGATTTCAGTTTCCAATTCTTCCTCACTTTCATCTGCTCCATCCGAATCAGAACAAGAACAGCTAGAAACTTGTAGCTCCCTATTTCCGTTTTCCTCATCTTCCTTTTTTTGTCCCATCTGGACCAGACTTGCAAGTAACAAAGAAGATCCAAGTAAGTGAGGTTCAATGGATGACACCCTGGATGGATGTTGCACACTGGAGAAACTGCCAGAAGTGCAATCATGATACAGCTTCTGTTGAAATCCTCTTCTTCCTCTCTTGATGTTGCCTCTATCTTCTCTTTTCATGTCTCTTTCAGTTTCTCCCATAGTCTCCCCAAACCTTTGACCACTGGCTACAAGAAGTCCAATGCTAGGGCGTCTGCAGGCTGGGCGCGTGAGGGGCAAGTGGAGAGTAGCAAGTGTAGGAAGAACGTCTGGACTGGGTTAAAGCTACAGAGGGCAAACCAACACTGGAGCGCCTCCTGGCTTTACTAGCCTGCACAGCAGCACCAGGCTGACGCACCGAGGTATGTTTCTGTTTTTTTCTGTGATGACGAAAATGACGGTGGAAGAAAAAATCCATCATGATTCTTTACAGTGTAGAAGGTAGTAAAAATCTTATCCGGCATCTGATGACAGCAGTGCCTCTTGCCAGGGGGAGCGTTGGATGATATAACAGCTTCCTCCAACATAAGCCAATAGAGGTTTTTCTCCAGTCTTCTTATAGAAATGCTGAAGGAGCAAGTAGGTCGTTTTGTGATTGAAATTCAATTCATAGTATATACAAACTGTTAAAACAATCTTCATGTTGTGATCAAAACTAACACTAATGATATGTATGGTAAAAGGAGCCATTGGTCAACTAATGCAGTATTGCTCTTGAGAGTTCATTCAAAACCACACTGTTTCCCACAGCAGTCACACTCTGAGGGAACTAACTGTACTACAGTACTACAACATTTGCAAAGTGTTGTGACTGCATTAAAAACTACTAACTAAAACAACCAGAAATCTTCCAGAACCAAATCCGCTTCCTTAAACACCAAGCCACCCTCCCTAATATGACACGCAGTGTTTCCTTCATCAAGAAAAAAAAACTGATACCAGTCAGCTACGGCAGCAACTACATTAAAGCTAAGGAAGGGCTAAAGGATCAGAAAAAAAATAGCTGAACATTAGCTAAATAAAGCTAGCCCTAATTGCGTAGTCTCTATATTGTCCCTATTAAATCAAGATAATCAAATATAAAAGTCACATTGGCTCAATGATAAGTTTCCACATAAATGATTTGAATATAAATACAGAAAAACAATTTTAAAATTACCTTAATAAACAGTTTATCTGGGTTGGTTTAGACTGCTTAAGAATATCCGTTAGCTTTAATATAGTTATAGGGATGTTAGCCAAAACCTATACTTAAACTATTAATACATATAAGCTGAAGTATTACTACATATTGGACTAGAATTACACTAACATTCTAAAATAAATTCTAACTCTTACAGATTCACTGCATAATTAACAGACAAGAAAAATACCCAAAATAAAGTGATTTCAAACATCACAAAAAAGCAGATAAACTTAGATGCAAAAAATAGTAATTTAACTGGCAGAAGAACAAAATGAAGAATTGTCTTAGATTTCAAAGGTATTACCAAATTATAAATTAAGGATTTTATTGGATTTTTAAATACAGAGAAGGGAATGGTGAGGAGTATATTCCAAATTGTAAGCTTAAAGGACAAATATGGTCTAGAAGTCCCACAAATATAACCATGAGAACTGTCTTCCACTGTCCTTACAAAGTTCTTTTTTGAGACAAGGACAAGTATTTAGTGGCGCTTTGGCCCAGAGGCAATGTCTCTGTCATTGGTGTGGAACCCCAGGGTTCACCTCCTGGGCAAGTTCGAATCCCGGTTAGGGCGGTTGGTACCTTCCAGTGGACTCACCACCCGCAGGAAGGTTTAGGGCGGTTGGTACGGTGCAGTGTGATCTGGGTGGCGACTGCTGCCCCTGCGACCCGGTAACGGATAAGCGGATGAAAATGGATGGATGGATGGACAAGTATTTAAGCTTCCTTAACCAAAGAAGACTTTGAAACTAAAGGCGGCTCATGCTTTCTTCAGGACCTATCAAATTTAATGAGGGTTTTCAGACTCCTAAACCTAAATCTACTGCTCAAAACTCCACACAGCAGCTGCAGCAGATTGTGCTGAGTCTGTGAGGATCACTTTACACTGCCATCAGCAAAAGTCCGAGCTGAAGGTAAACAGAGAAGACACCCAAAATCAAAATGACATAGGAACCTTGGAGCATCACATTACCCAGAGACCACTAACAAAAACACATAAAAGATAATACTCCTTATTATACTGGCATAATCAAAGCAGTGAAAATTCAGGCATGAGCAATGGATCCAGCCTGATCTCAGCTGTCAAACTGTCCATCCATGGCCACCGACACTCTGGCAGCAGAACCAGACACCATTCTACGCCGACCTGAACGTGTGACTGATGATATTTTGAGCTTTGTTAAATATTATCTGAGTATTTCTATTTTAACAAGCTGTGGTTATTAGTAAAAATGAAACGTCCCTGTTCTAATGGGGCTAAACAGCCAGTCATATCTGTCCACATGGACACTAAGAACGAGACTCGACTGTTAGTGAGTGAGACACAAAGCACATGTTAATAAAGTTAATAAAAGAAACGGCGATGGAATTTTGAATCACAGATGGGTTGAGTGTAAGTAATTTCCATTACAGAGTTAACAAAATGAAAATAATGACTTGGGTTCCCTTCAACTGACATTTCACACTAATGCTTTACATTACCACATTTCCTGTCTATGCTATCATTTGTTTTCCTCAAATCAGTTCTCTCGCTCAGCAATAAACAGAACTGCTGCTCACTGGTGTGAACCTCTTGGCTCGTTTCAAGAGCTAAGAACTTGTTAAATGTAAAGAACGTGATGTGGTTTCATTGAATGAATAGTTACAGTTTCTTTCACGAGCTGTTCATCCGAGCTTACGAGAAACAGATCAGA